TTGTAGGTGGGCACATACAAAAGTAGACATTTAACAGTTTTTTTTTATGTTTCATAACTCTGTATGACCAGAAATGATGGAGTAGTTTAAGTCTATTTTTCTGCTATGTGAAAAAAATATGCCAAAACGCACGGGTGCGTTCTTGGTCCCCAGAGGGTTAAAATCATTTTTCAACACAAATATAAGCCCACCTCTACTCAATTAGCCCTATTTTAATGATATAAGTGCACGGCGTCAGTGCACTTAAAAGGGTTGTCCCTATTCTCTTCATGAATAATGGGTGTGTTTTGGGCCGTAACGTGCAATAAACCAGTCAGAGTCCCATCTCCCATTACCCTTAAAAGCCAGTTGCGCTAGCGTCCTGGCGGATTTGCTACAGGCCTATGTCACACTTCCTGCTTCCGGAACGCGGAGTAGGGATTCAGAACTTCCGGTCAACAGTATTTCTCTATAAGGATTTAGATTATCAGCCATAATGTCTGAACCATCCGAGGTAGACTGACCACGAGCTATGAGGTTGTGAAACGAAGGTGTTTGCTCCTGTAGAAGCTATAAGTTCGTATGAAATCACCTTTGTTTTAAGAAAAACATGTTTTATCCGCGATCTTATGAAAAAAACTACACTACCCACAATCCTAAGCGTAGCAGCAACGTCTGCTGATTGGTCCAACTCGCTGTTACCATAGAAGCGTTTACCTTACTGGCGAACGACTAGAGCTATAACATATTATCAAAGAATTTGCTGACTTTCTATCAGAGTTAGTACTGACTGCAGATAAAGTCCTACTTGTTGGTGATTTTAATATACATGTAGATAATGTAAAAGATGCATTGGGATTAGTGGTGCACGATATATCGGCCGCCGATATAATATCGGGCGATATGGTCAATTTTTTACACATCCGTATCGTTCCGATGTCAAAATAGGGCCGATGTGAACAGGCCGATAATCATTCCTGTGTAGTTGACGTGTGTGTAGATGTGAGTGTGGGGGCAGGGATGTTTGTTTTTGCACGAGCGCAAGTCCTGCCAGTTTAAACATCAAGCGCAAGAAGACTGGAACTTGCGCGCTGTTTTCTGTCAGCCTTAAGCCCCGTACACACCGGGACGAATATTGGCGCGCGTTATTCGTCAGCGTTTTTCAACGCGTTTTTTGTGTTCACACCCAAGCGATTTTCGCTGACGATGAGCCGAGTGAACATGCAAATTCATTCCCTGACATTAGATGGCGCTTAATGTAAAACAGAAATAGTCCTATTTTGTAGTCGCTGTCGCGTTTGTCATAGTTCTTTATGTTCCGACACCAACGAGACCAGAAGCTCTACATTCATCTTGCCTCGCATCTTCCTCGTCTTATTTCTTCCCGGCAGTGTAGACCATAAATATCCATAATAAAGGCCATATTTGGCCAGCAGCACGGACGAGACATCTAGCCTTTATTATGGATATCTATGGTGTAGACGCTATTGGCGCATCTTCTTCGCCGTTACGTATGTGTGCTCTGCAAGACCGTTTTGTGTTTGAGCGCCCCCAAGTTGTGTTTTACTGTAACTTCAGAAGCTCCAGACACGTGAGTAAAAGCGCCAATCTCATTGGTCGGATAGTTTTTGACGCGGTGCGTCAAACCAAAAAAAACGAACCCGAGGCGTTTTAAAAAAAATGACGCTTTTACGCGTGGCGTTTTTCGCGTCGGTGTGCACACTCACATTGGCGCCCTTTGTTTAGTCACGAGGCGTTAAACGTCGGCGTGTGAACAGGCCTTTACTAAGTCGTATTTTTGTCCCGCCAAAGCCTTATTTGACAGGTGAGTGATGTAGATGACTGACTGCTGCGCTTGTTTAACTGAGAGAACGAGCAGAGAGAGTGAAAGCCCCGGTCGCACGCGTTGTGGACCGGCCTATAGGCACACATTACTAACACGTTCTTTAAATAACAAAAAAAAATATTGCGCCATTGACTTTAGTCTATTTCAGTTGCCTCAAAATAGCAACGTGCCAACAATGCGCCTGAACACACCTCGTTTTCAAACTAGCATGCCCATGGACGCACAAATGGGCGCAAATGCATTTGCTATTTAAACAACATGGCGCAGGTCGTGAAAATGATAACTGCGTTGGGCTGAAACTAGCAAAACACACTTGCTAGTTTCTGACATAGCGCAAACAGCAGGCAAGAGATTGACGAAAGGCTGTAAAGAAAGCGTGTTCGGAAAGCCCTTATATGGAGATGGTTTGGGCGTGTTTTATGCGTACGAACGTGTTGAGAATTATGCAGAGATTTTTCGTGAGAAGTTCTCCTTTGCATACAAATGCGAATTAATCCACGGATTTATTAGTGAATGAGACCCAATGCTTTTCTTCACAAGTACCACAAAAACAACACAAGAAACTGTCTAGAACACAGAGCTGCCTAAAATTTTATTCAACAAGATAATCAAGACAGCCTTGAGTAAAAATCAACATGCAGACACTCATAATCTTGAGGGAAATTGGTCAAATTATGGTTAAGTGAATTTAGGTGCAGCTTTTACTTGGTTGCTTAGCAGCAGCGTAGAGCGAAACAAAGAAGCCAAAGTCTAAATTGGCTCATTCTAAAACATGGGATGAGAAAGCACAAAGTACTCTGCACATTTCCATCTGCTTCCACACATCATCCTGCAGTGAACTCTGGTGTGACAGAGATGATGCAGTGGGGAAATTACACATGCCATTTAATCCATGAGTTTTTTTTATCTGCCCTGTGTTTGACTACCTAGAGATGTTGGGCTCTTCTAGTGGGAGAGAGTCTGGCTGCAGGCCTACATGTAATCATTATGTGCTGGTACCTAACTGATGCAAGCTCACTGCTTTTTGAATTGAGGACTCTTGAAAATTATTGCTTTTCAGCTTCAGAGCCAAAAGCCTGTTAGTATTCATGAAGCTGATTGTGTGTATTCAGGATTAAATATTCACTGTTGAGTGCTTATTCCTTAAAGCTCTTTATTTTAGTTGAAAGAAAGTGACTTTTGTTTGGTTCAGAGATCTTTTAACACTTAAAGTAACAACAGGTAACTTTTCAACCTTCATAATATATTTCCAAGTCTCTTGTGATGGTACATCGACTTACAATAGGTTGAATGACACGTCTGCCATAGCCTGACGGGGTCTGTAGCGTTTTTAATCGTACTTTTAAACTTCGGGTTTCGGGTAGTAACCGGCGAACAAAGAGAACTACAAAATTCGACTGCTTTACGGCATATACGTCACTTCCACCACCACCCCCACTTCCTTAAAATCGGACTTGCGAGCCAAATGTTATAGTCATGGCCGAAGCAGCACAGAAAAACAAGAAAGCAAAGGTTTTATCGGAGCAAAGCAAAAAGAGAAAAAGAGAAAGTGATCGCGTTAAAGGCAGAACGAGGATCAACATTGCAGAGCTGCCAACTCTCACGCATTGGCCGTGAGACACCCGCATTTGATTGGTTTCACACGCTCACACGTACGCCACACCCCCGGTTTCTCACGCTAAATTGTCAACCCGGTCGGTTAAATCCCTGAAAGATGAGTTTATCTATAGATCTACCTGTTGAGCCACTCGTGATCGACAAGTTATACCGCAAATTAGTTCAAATCTCCCGGAATCTAGAGCGAGCGCGCACGCGAGACAGAGACTGTGCTCCAACGCGCGCGGACGGCAGAGAGAGAAAGCGAGCGAGAGACCTTGCGTGTGCAGGGAGCATCGAACCCCCCATCGAAAAAAGAATGCCTCTCTCTAACCTCTCTAATTCGCTAGAGTAGTAGCGGATTATCAATCTTTTCTGATTCTCGTTCTGATTTGAACTTTGCAATCGATGAAATGCAAATAGCAAATGTTTGACCTAAAAAGTGTAGTCTACTCAACATGTACAAAGAAAGGAGGAAGATTATTAATAAAATCATATTTTAGGATACCTAACATGTCTGTGATATTTGTTTATTTGTCTTGCCTCAAGCTATAATGCAAATCGATTTGTAAAATTTGCAGATTCATTTATGGTAGCTTGATATTATAATATTGACGATATCTGGTTATTATCAACCACTCAAACATTGCATTGAAGTATCATATAGATCCAGTAAAACGGTAACCAATAGACTAGGCTACTATAATGACGCTGGCTTGTAAACGTGAGCATCGCGATCATTTGTCGTTAGAAAAAAAATAAAACCCATGAAATTATATTCATATGATATGCTGAAATATATGCCACTGTACCTGGGATGAAGACATTTCACACGCGACGCAAGCAGAACACCTGCATGTGACCTCCTCCTACAGTGTTCAGGGCTATCCTGGTTGTCAACAATTGCACGTGCATGTAGGATGACAGAGTTTACGACAGTAGTAGAGGACAATACTGTTTCTCAACTGTAGGGGGAGCCCGAGAGCAAAAAACTACCTGTTGTTACTTTAATAAGTACCTAATTCTGAAAATAAATGACATTTTATAACTTGTTAAAGCTTACTTGTAGTATCTTGGCTATAGAATATAGTTTTTTTTAGGCAACCAAGCTAGTTTGGTAATTTGCATTTATATTTAGCTTTAATATATTTAATTAATTTTATTTTAGAACAATAAATACAATTTATCAATTCTCTACAATTATTTTATTATTAACTATTATTATCATCATTGTAGGTAGAATAGTGTATATTTATAGTATATTTTTTTCTGCTTAACTAAAATCTGATGACTCTTTTAAAACCATTGAGTTGTGTATTTTATAAGCTCTGTGTGATTAAATTTGTATTGCCACTTTACTGTACTGTAAAAAGTCTGTATAAATGTGCCAGTTTTGGGTTAATATTGCCCACAAACCTTATACGAGAGGACTGGCTGTGAAGGTTCACTGTGATATCAATATGCAAATTTATGACAAAGTCCATCTGACATTGAAAGACCACCATTTGCATTAACCCTGTCAGTATTATCAGGATGGCAGGATGGGAACATCAGCGAACATGTTACATGGGAACATTACCTGCTGGTCCACTGCCACTGCATCCAGACCATGATACATGATATTGACCCAGCCGTCCTTCGATGCCAGCACAAACAGGGACATCAGAGCCTGTAAAAACAAACACATTCAATTCATATGAGCACGTACAAGGACAAATGGAAGTATGGAGATGGATGGAAAGACAAGCCGGACAAGCAAAGATAGATGGAGGTTGAACAGACAAATAAGGTGCAAGGACAGATAAACAAACCACATGTGATGCAAAAAACAAAACAAAAAAACAATGACAGGTCATTCTGATAAAGATGCACACACAAATAAACACACTATGTAAATACATCAATAAAGTTAGATCAAACAAAGCAACACATTGAGTTGCTCAGAATCGTCATATAATTTGATAGGCCCAGTCAGAGAACAAACTAACCTGCCCCAAGTTGTCAAAGTTGTACTTGTGATGGACCCACTTGTAATTGGCCGAGATGCAGTCAGACCTGTTGGTGATGTTCTTGACATCCAGGCCCAAGCAGTAGTAGAACTTGCCTTTGAAAAGCTATTGAGGCAAAAGAAATGGCACACACTTCATGTCACTCAACGCCACACATCTCAAGCATCTTTTTAATAAAACTGTCAGAGCACTGTTGGATATTTAAAAGAAAAAGTGTGTTATGAAAGAAGACCAGGAGAAAATAGGAAAACATTCTCCATGAAAAAAGAACAAGATATAGCACTAAAAAGAAATGTGAACAAATAATGAACAAAAAAAATTAAAAGAAACAGAAAGCAAAGGTTTAAAGACATAAAGTCTATCTCAGATCGTGTGATTAAGCAGAAACCTGACTTTTATTGGAGTAATATTTTATTAGTGTGTAGAATGTCCACCAAAAATAAACATTTGATTATTAATTTCTCTTGCCATTGTGGGATGTAGGCTAATGTTGTATTGTATTTGCTTTACAGTGAAGACAACACATTTCCTATCATGTTTGCCTATGAAAGACGACCTGTAAGTATGGGGCGGAGTGACACGTTTAGCCCCGCCCTGTTCTGTAGGCTTCAGCCTGGTCCTTCTCTATTGCACTGGTAAAGTTTTTCTTCCACATGCAAAGGATCCCCAGTTCAAAGCCTGGATTATCTGAATTATATATGGTTTACTTTAAAAAATATATACACTTCCATTCAAAGATTTAAGTTTTTTAAATGTTTTAGAAAGAAGGCTCTTTTGCTCACCAGGGCTGCATTTATTTAAACAAAAATACAGTAAAAAAGCAGCCATTTTCAGTAGCCATTACTCCAGTCTTCAGAGTGACATGATCCTTCAGAATTCATTCTAATAAGCTGATTTGCTGCTCAAACATTTTTGCTGAAACATTTTTTATTACCAATGTGAAAACAGTTGTGCTGTTTAATATTTTTGTGGAAACAGTGATACATTTTATTCTTTACCTGGACTCCCAGGATACCAAAGATGATAAAAAAGGCACAGCAGATGAGAACTATGTTTCCTATAGGTTTCAGAGAAGTGATCAAAGTCTCCACAACCAGTTTGAGGCCAGGAGCTCGACTGATAACCCTGTCACAAGGGAAAACAACAACAAAAGAAAACCATTTAGCATCTGCAGAGTTATAAACTAAGCATACGTTGGACAACACCACAAAAATGCTTGCAATTACTTGCTGTACCTGAGGGGACGCAGTGTGCGCAGAAGCCTGAGAACCCTGAGCACTCCCAGGATCTTAGCCCCACCCGCCATTGACACAACAATGTCAATCAAAGATACGAACACCAGGAAACCATCCAAAACGTTCCAGCTGCTGCGCAAGTATGCCTGCTCTCCAATATACAAACCCATAGACACCACCTACAATAAACAAAGACACAATGTTTGAAATGGTCAGCATAAAAGATGAAGTAGTCGGGTACAGTTTATTTTTGTTTTCATTGTACATCATTGGTGTTCTGGTGTGACACTCTATGTTCTGTTTTATGTAATAGCCAGTTTTGATCCTCTAATCTGATTCTGAATCTGTTTCTGATCCTTACTAGTGTGTCTTTGCTGGAATTAACTGAAATATGTATTAAAGTGGGGAAACAGAGACCCTAACAGCAAAGTTCGAGTTTGTGATCTCCAGTCAACCAAAACCAACTGTTCTAACTGGAACCCTAAAATAGTGCTTCCTGTAGAGCTGATTTTGCAACTTAACTGAGCTCTGCACAAGTACATCTAAAATCCACCATTATGTCAGTGGTGACATGCAGATGTACTTAAGGGAACTGCTGATGGCAGTGAAATATGACTTTGAGATACAAAAAAAAAAAAAAAAAAACTATTGAATTTGTGGAGAAAAAAAACAGCAGCAAAACAGTGAAAAATATTTATCTAAACACTGAAAAAGTGACTAAAATACAAAATCCATTGAAGCTCCAAGGTGACCCGAGCCTTAGGCCTCCCAGGCAGATTCTTGTGACACTAACAAGACGAGTGACAGGAAAGAAATACACATGCACACACAGCCTGACGTCAGAATTGGCTGAGGTCTAAAAGTGAGAAGAGCAAAGAGAGCAAGAAAACAGAGATAGACAGAGAATTATGCACTTTTAAGAAATGAGATGCCATACTGCTACACATATCTGCTCTTTCTTGGGATCAATTTGGGCTGTATTAGTCTGACAGTTTCTTTACAATACTGCCAAAAGAAGCCAATAATAAATCAGTGATGTACACCAGGCTAGTGCAGTAATGTGACACTCAAGCTAGCAATTTAAGTGAGAGCAGATCTGCTTGCAGAACTCCTATTAGTCGAGTGTAGGTGGGTTGGGGACAGTAAAATCAGCCATTGCCCCTCAGGCTGTTATACCGGTAGGTATATTTTTGCAGTAGCTTGCAGAATCTGCCTCACCAAGGATGAACTGTAATTGTTGACTTTCTGGTCCCCGAGAGAAAGGTGGAATCATTGTTTGACTTGTGTCTCCCACTGCACCAATGCTTTTAAAAATGTCCACAGTAAAGGATATTCGCTGCATCATCTTAAATATTGACTGCGTATGGTTAGTTGACATGACATTTCAAACGTTGACAACAGAATGAAATGCTATCTAAAACATCTAAAGAAATGTAATTCTTGTATAATTATTAAACAGAAAAAAATAAATAAAATAAAAACTTGTTCTTGTTGTGGACAAGCAGCTTGGATAAAAAATAAAATGAATACAATATTTCAGACAGATTTACTTACGCACAACTGTCTGGGACTAAGAAAATGTAGTGTCACTTTGGACAGGTCTATCTCTTGTTTGTTCCATTTCTTAATAACTGATTAAGTTACGTAATTGATGACCTAAAAGTGCCAAGTGCTTGCAGCTGAATAGATGGGCCAGGCTGTGAGATTGACTGCATCTGAAAGAGGAAACTGGCTCTAATTAATATCATTGCTTAATTGCTTGTCATGAGAGGGCTAGCAAACGTAATACCCCACTCTCAAGAGGTGCAGAGGAGAAAGCATGAGTGAAAACTAGTGAGAAAGAGATAGAGCGAAAGGAAAATGATTAAATAAGAGATGGATTAGAGATACACACACAAGGTTTCATCTTCAGAAAGATATTTGGCTAATTACTCATTCAAATGACAGTCCTTAACAATGTCTCCAACAAATTTGTGTTTGTGTGTAATTTTGTTTAATATCTATCAAAGTTTAATATAATGATACATTATTCCTTCAGTTCATATATACAGTGGGGTCTAAAGTGATGTTTTTTTTTATTTTCATTTTTATTTATGTTCTCAAAACAAAAACAAAAACAAAACGTTTTGGGATTTAAAAACCCCCCAGAAATAATCAGCACTATTTCTAGGTCACAGAACAAATAAGCAAATTTGTCACATTGATCATGTGAGTCTTTGTACAGACGGTCAGATCATTTCTACTGAAGCACAAGATGCTCTATGGATCATCCCAAATTATGTTGGAGAACACTTGTTTGTGCAGCTGTCATTAAAGCAAAAGAGGGACGAATCAAATAAGATAATAAAATGTTAATTCAATTTTCAATTAAACTATTCACTCAATTTTCAATTCTGATAATATAATTTGTAATGGAAAATTTGCATTAAATTAGAAAGATGAAAAACAGAAACATTTTCACTGGTGGTCTTTTGGACCTCACTGAATATGCATAACTAAATGAAAAGTAATTGTACTCCAGCAGAATTCAAACCTTTAAAACACATGAAAACAGGAAAAAGAGTGTTAACTATTAACAGACAGAAATAGTAAGGCAAGGCAAGTTTATTTATATAGCACATTCCATACACAATAGCAATTCAAAGTGCTTTAAATAAAATAAATTAAAATAATCAAAACAAATAAGAATAATTAAAACAACTAATGGTAAATGGACTGCATTTATATAGCGCTTTCACAGACCCAATGGCCACCAAAGCGCTTTAAATATTGCCTCGCATTCACCCATTCACTCACTCATTCATTATTGATCACTATATTTGTCACCATAGATCAGAGGTATGGCAGTGCATACAGGGTGAAAATTTTTTTTCAAAATATCAACACAACATATCATGCAGTGAATGTAAATATTTACCTTGAGAGTCATCTCCCCCACAAATATGGCAGTGAAAATGTAATTGGACACGGTAAGGAAAAGCCTCTCCTGCAGAAAGAGGAGGAGAAGGGAGAGAGAAGTTGTAAAGGAAAGAGAAGAGAGAAAAGCTGTAATGTTGTCATTGCTGTGAGAATAACTGCTTGTGGACAAACGAAAATCATCAATAACTAAAACAATAGGTTAAACAACTGAATCAAAGGTCTATGGCCTCAGTCTTACCAGGCTACCCTGAAGAATCTTGGGTCTCTCTAGAGCCACAGTGATGCAGTTTGAGAAGATGAAGGCCAGCACCACATAGTCAAACAGCTTATGGGCTATGATGGACTGGCACAACAACCTGAATCTGAAGAGTAAGCGGGAAATAAGGAAAAGAGATATACAGAGTCAAACCAACTTTGTTCCAAAACCTAGTGAGCTGTCTACTGCCTACAGACTGCAGCCAGCCGAACAATAACGGAACCTCACAAGCAAGCTGTTTAGAATCTGCAAGCCTGAATAGACTTGCAATTGATTTCAATAAAGTTTGATGACTATGTGTAAGCTAACAGCACAATACTCTAATAATAACAAATATAGACAGTAGGGGTGTGACGAGAACTCGCGAGACTAAAATGTAACGAGATTTCTCGTTGAGTGAAAAGCTGTCTTGCAATATCGCCATGACGGAGCGTGAGGGTGAAATTAACATAGAATATGCCCGCTACATTCACATTACGGTGCCCAACGCGGTCCCGGCTCCACTGTCGTTTTGCTGTTTTTATAAACATAAAAACCGTTGTAAACATCTGCTCTGCTCATACAGCACGAGTTGCAGTCGCACACAGTGCAGCAGGAATCACAGTTTGTGGAAAGGAGTTCAATTAGGAGGTCACACACAGCCTCAATCAAAAGTTCTGGATGCTCATAATTAATGTACAGTAAAGTCTGAATAGAGATAAGTGGCTCGTCACACTCCTAATAGACAGCACACACTGAAAAATTTCATTCAGTATGTCAATACCGAATGAAAGACTGGCCTTTGAATATGGAATAATATAAATATAACATAATATATTATAATATAATATATTATAAACTACTTTTTTTTTTGTATTATTGTGAAATATTATTATAATTGAATATAACAATTTTTTTTTAATTCTATTTAATTTTTAACTGTGTTGGCAAAGCTGAATTTTCTCCAGTATCTTTCAGAAATCATTCTATGATATTGATCTGCTGCTCAAGAAACTTCTTAATATCACAGAAAAAAATAGTTAAATTGTATAACTTGTGGAATCAGTGATAGTGTTTTTTTTTTCTAGATTCTTTGAGAGACAGAAATTTTGAAGAACAGCCTTTGAAATTGAAATATTTTTTAACAATATGAATGACTTTTTCGTAAATGCATTTTCGCATTTTTGTAAAAAAAAGGTTACCAGCCACTGCCAGCATTTTTTAAAATCATTTTCAAATATTATATTTTGTTGTACCAATATCTGAACATACAATATATCAAAAGAAATAACAGCCTCTGTTTATAAAAAAAAAAACCAAAACAAACATTTTATTCTAGCTTCATGTATTATTTTTTTTATTTTTTATGAATGTATGCAAGTTCCATAAAAAAATAAAGACACATTTTGAACAAAAAGCTGAGAAAATCACGTTTTTGTCAAAGACTATGTCTGGATTGGATTCAGAACGATGACTAAAACATAGATGGAGTAGATCGAGTGCATCAAAACCCCCAAAGCTTCACAGTCCTACACATCATCCTGGGTCGACATTTCATTTGGTAACATTATTCAGTTTTGATTTAAATGCTGTTTATGTTTGATAATCGCTTTATTATACATGTGCATAAGCAATGCTTCTATTGCTTGTCTTCGACTGTGTTTTGATTGGGAGATTCTGTACTCTTTCATATTATGCACAATTGCGGCCCCCTAATTTTTATCAATCAAATGCATTCTTGCTGAAAAAAAGTATACATTTCTTAAAAAACTACAATAATAATAATAATAAAATAAAATCTTACTGACCCCAAACTTTTGAATGGTACAGTAGTGTAATATGATTCTCACTTCATCTGCAATCTTGGATTTATTTTTTCATGGAGCTCGTCAAAATGTACTCATTGTAGCTCATTAGGTGTTGGAACAGTCAAATATCTCAATTTTTCCATTGCAGAACAAACTTTAGATGGACATTCAAAGACTAGATGGTTTGGAGAAAACAGACTGACAGGCAGATGGTGGGAATAATCGGCTCCTATCTCTCTGACACGATCAATTTCCTAATCAAGCCACCCTCTAAAGAGCTGGCAGCCCATCAGTGCTATTGATCAGGCAAGAATTGCAGAATAACTGCTGGCCGAGTTACCGTCAGGAGAGAAGAAGAGGTGTGCAGGCATCTTTCCCTCTGTATTACTTAAAAAGATCAAATCAGTGGCACTATAGGAAACAACCTGTGACACAAGCTTCCTTTTATCTGCTTAATTTCAACCTGTTCGTGGGCATGGAGGAACTTCTAATCTGTTTTGTGTTATAATGAGGTCGGTCTCCATGCAAGACAACATCCAGCTGCATTCTCAAATTTAGCTTAGACTGACAACATTTGACTCTTACTTGACACAACCCAAGAGTAATTTTTAAAATGTAAGAGGGCACGAAGTTACGCGATTGCAAACGGGTTTTGCTTATGATGAGGCTAGCACAAGTGCAACAACATTAAGCCAACTGTAACCCAAGTATCCTTATAACTTTTTTTGTCAGCCAAACCCCTTTGACCTAGAATATGTATTTATTTGACCGGTGAGATTTAGCTATTTTTTCTCAATCATTTAAAAATAAATTTGCTTTGATGTTAGTTAATGGCACACAACATATGCAGGTCAATAATGAAGCCAATAATATTTTTTATAGTAAGTGTTTTATTTGATTGTTTTTATTTTAAAATTATTCATTTATTTTAATTTGACATTTTTATAATTTCATTATTTATAAGCTTTTCATCAACAAACAGTTCCCTCACATTTATACAATGACATTTATTTATTACTAGTGACAAGTATTGCTGCAGTATCTTTGACCACATAAAAGTTAAATGCCAAATATAATAAAAACAACGCCACAATCACCTGATTGGTCAATCACATGGCGGCTAAAAAGCTACACTATGTGTCCGTTTATCGGTTTCTTTTTCATTGGAAATTAACTGAGAACTCTTTGCATATCATGATTACCACATAACATGTAAAACTACCTACATAAATTGTTTGTGAATAAGGTCAGAAGGTGAAACAACTACTGACAGCTCTTAAGAAGAGTGTTCATGGCTATTATGTATTGAAAGAGAGTAGACAGTGAAAGGACTGACTTGTTTTGAGGAGAGAAGAGGAAGACGGACCAGTCGTCTCTGGTCTCACACCAGTCTGGTCTGTACACCTCCATCATCTTCTGGATCCGGAAACATAAACTCTGCCGACAGAAAAAGCATTTAGTTGAAAATTTGTTGGCAAAGATGAGGACTGAGATTAATTCTGCAGGATTCAGGGTGGGAGAACTTTCTTGGAAACGGATTAGTTAGTTGAAGCAGTTATGAAACGGAGCTTTCCAATGTTTCATGTCCCCTTGGAGCTGCCATGTTACTCTTAATTGCTTACAAAACAAGAGAGTCTGGCTGTAAATTAAAATCTAAAATCCTACAGCCATCTGTTAGCGTTCCTCCTCAACAGATAATAATTGGGCGATTTTCATTGCATAGTTGATTGTATGGACAATTGACTCTGCTCATTTATGTGTGCAAAGCTTTTTTCTTTTTTTTTTTACAGGGACAATACTAACTCCTCTCCAGAATTCTCAGATAATCCAAAACTACAGTATAAAAGACAACTGACAACTCTCATTTTCATCAAATCTTTGTTCCATGGAACACCAACTTCTTGAGCTCCATAAATGACAAATAAAAATAAATAAAATTAAAGCTGCAAGCAGCGATGAAAGGGCCCTCGCACCCGTGCCACCGCCACCCGGTGGCTTTAGGAAGACAGAGCACGGTGGGCAGTATGTAAATATAGGGGGAATATGTTAAAGTAATTTGCCCCACCCAATTCTGAAACCCACATCACATGTACATTTTCACCACTTCTGAAGTGTGTGCAAAGTTTCATTAGTTTTCGAGCATGTTTAAGCCGGAGGACTATGTCAAAGTCATTTATTTTTATCACACTTCCTGCTACCAGCAGGTGGCGCTATTACAATAATCTAATATGAGGATGGTCATGTGTTCAGGACAGGACTCTTATCACACATGTGAAGTTTGGGGCAGATCGGACATTGTATGCCTGAGTTACTGCAGGCTGTCTGTGGTTGCCTAGCAACATCGGAACTGCATCATTTACACAGAAGTTATCTGATGATGCATATTTCACCCAGAGGCTGAAATTGGATTTGCACATCTACATTTTTGTCAGGCCGCCGAGGTCACATCCTTCGACGAAAACTCTAGATCTTCGCAATTTAACGTCGCAAAGGCCTTAAGATTAGACTGACAAAATATTATGTGGATCTGATTTAATCTCTAGGAGGAGTTCGTTAAAGTACAACATCAGGAAATTACGAAAAATGCACAAAATCTAGGAGGAAGTTCAAAATAGCTCACTTCCTGTTGTGTTTAGGGCTATGCTCCAAGAGACTTTTTTGTAGGTATTGGGTCATTACATGTATGTACCAAATTTCATACCTGTACGTGAAACGTAGAGCCGGGGCAAAATCTGGGGGCAATAATTTACCGAATTTGCCCCACCCAATTTTGAAAACCATATCACACGTAAATTTTCACCACTTCTGAAGCGTGTGCAAAGTTTCATGAGTTTTTGAGCATGTTTAGGCCCTCTAAAAAGCGATTCTTTTAAGAGAAGAAGAAGAAGAAGAAGAAGAAGAATAATAAACAGAGCAAAAACAATAGGGTCCTCTCACCATCGGTGCTCGGGCCCTAATAATAAACAGAGCAAAAACAATAGGGTCCTCTCACCATCGGTGCTCGGGCCCTAATAAAAGTAGCATAAATCCAGTCTTCTGAAACAATACACTACTGTTCAAAAGTTTATTTCTGTGATGGCAAAGCGGCATTTTTAGCAGAAATTACTCCAGTCTTTAATGTCACATGACCCTTAAGAAATCATTCTAAGGCCCTGTTTACACCTGGTATTAAGATGCGTTTTGGTCGATCAGATTACAAGTGGATGGCATTAAACGGGTCTCCAACTCTTTATCTGAACTTGTATTGAGCTTGTCCATTTTCGACCACTTCCAGAGGTAGTTGAAAACGCATTCGACCAGATTGCTTTCGTAATGTAAACGTTCATGTGGTCGAATGCATTCAAACAGTCACAAAAGAACGTAAACATTATATATGCGTAAACATTATGGGAAGCAAGTTTCATTATCGGAAGCGATCTATACATTAGATCGAAATATCTGAAAAAGCCCATACATTTACCCACCCATAGACCCTCCTCTTAAATAAATCTGAACAAAAGTGGTTAAAAAAGACAAAAGAGACAGATTAAAACACCAGGTGTGAACGGGAATGCATCTCCCTCGTCTACTTGTGATCCGATCAGGCAAAACACATCTTAATACCAGGTGTAAAGGGGGCCTAATATGCTGTTAATCAAGAAACATTTCTTTATTAGTCTCATACTGTTAAAAATCTGGGTGTAACATTTAATTCATCGCTTACATTTCAATCTCATATAAGTTCTATTACCAAGATTGCATTCTACCACCTTCGCAGTATTGCCGGACTGTTACCTGCTCTCAGCACTTAAGATACTGGAACTCTAATTCGTGCTTTGGTAACCTCTCGTCTCGACTACTGTAAATCGCTTCTTATTGGGCTGCCTGCTAAAACAATCACTAGACTGCAATATGTTCAGAATTCTGCTGCCAGAGTCATCAATCATGTCAAGAAATCTGATCACATTAACCCTTTGCTCTATAATCTACATAGTTCCTGTTCGCATTTAGTATAAAATTATCTGGTTAACTTTTAAATGTCTTCATAGACTTGCTCCCAACTCTTTATCTGAACTTCTGCACTATTATTCACCTTCTTGCTCTCTCCGGTCATCTGACGTAAAACTGCTTACTGTACCTCGTTTTCATTTTTCAGCGATGGGTGGTAAATCATTCAGTTCTGTGGCTCCGAAACTCTGGGATTCTCTTTGTGACACTTCTACTATATTCTCATTCAAATATCAACTAAAAACCTATCTTTTCTCACAGTATTTCCAACCCTCCCCTGTTTAGTGTTCTGCTGTTTTTTTTCTGTAGATTTGTATATGTATATGTACTATGTGATGCATACTAATGCTTGATACTGCGATTTTGTTATTTTCTTGTACAGTGACTTTGAGCTTGGGAAAGGCGCTTTATAAATTAAACTTATTATTATTATTATCAATGCTGAAAAAAGTTGTGCAGCTTACTATTTTTGTGGAAACCGTGATGCCTTTTTTCAGGACTCTTTGATAAATAGTTGGATAAGAACATCATTTATTTGAAATAGAAATATTTTGGAACATATGTGTTTACTGTCACTTTTGATCAAATTAATGCATCCTTGCTGAATAAAAATATTATTGACTATACGAACAGTAGTATAAATTAGCTTTGCTCAGAATACATATCAACATTTAAGTTGCTATTCTCACCCAAACTCTCATGGATTCAGAAGACTTGGAATATGACATGTATTCATTGGCAGAATCCGATCCCATTCACTTTCACTGCAAGGATAAGAGCACCCAGGACATTCAACTTAATTTCTCCTTTTGTGGTCCACCAAATTTATATATGATAATTTATAGATGAACTATCCCTTAAAACCATTACTAGGTTTATTGGACACTTACATAATCTAGCTCATCGTCCAGATCCTCCCTATCCTTGCGTGTATTGACCTGAGGGTAGACTTCATTGATGATTTGTGGTTGGACTGATGGTGTCTTTCCATTACAGTCCTGGTGCTCTCCAACGCTTCCCAGACCCCCAGAGAAGCTCTTCTTGCGTTGCCGGGGGTGCAGAGGAGGCAGGGCTGGTCCGGGTACCTGCAGCAGCTCCGGAAGCTCCAAAGAGAGAGCCCGTCGTTCTCTGCGCGGGACGAAGTGTCTAGACAGTAGAGGCGGATGCAGAGGAGGGGGTGGAGGAGACAACAGGGACTCCTGCTCAGCGGGACGAGAGTGAGGGCTACGAACCCGTAAACTACCTCCACCCCCCATCCCCAGGCATCTAGAGGATCGACCCAAGCTGTTCCAACTCGACCTGCGACTCCATATACCGGGTCGTGCAGGCCGTCCCCAATTGTGGTACAGAGAGCCTCGTCCCGGACACTAAGACACATAGAACACAAGTTCATAGTCAATATATGACCCCCCCCCTCCCCACACCGTGATTTATGCAAAGCCCAAACTACAAGAGTTTTGACTTTCAAAAAACTACTCAGAGTGTAAGGCTGCGAGGCTGATTTAAAAAAAATATATATATACAGTTAAAACACTAATATTGTGATATTGTCACGGGTGGTTGCAGGAACGCAGACGAAGATGAAGATCAACACGAAGTTTTAATAACAACAATCCAACTGACAGGCAAACAGGATGCAACACTTAATATAGACGTAACTGGACACTGAATGACGGTGAAGGGGAAACTTAATTAGTGAATACAAACGATGTAATAAATGATACACAGCTGAAACATGAGCTGAACTCATAATGACAGAAACCATGACGACCAAGGAGAGGAGGGAAGTGAACAAAGGAACACATGAGATGAATGAGGAAAAACTAAAAGTCCATGAAAACTAAACACACTGAACATAATAGTGACAGTACACCCCCCTCTGGCAAGGCGCACCTTGTGCCGTAATTGAAGAAAGAGCAGAAGGAGGGGTGGAGGGGGTTTTGGAGGTGGACAAGAAGATGGCGAAGGAATGGTGGTAGGTGGATGACGACGAACACCCTGCAGTGAAGATGTCGAGTGCCTGGTGGCGCAGACCCAGAGCTCACCAGTGCCGACAGCCCACGGCGGACTTGAGGGAGGAAGGAGCCAATGTGGTGTAGTGGCTGATGACAGCAGGAGACGAGGACGATGGATCCACAGGTGTAGACGGAGAGCCGATGGAAACGAGCGATATCGCTGGCACTCGCTTCTGCGACGAATGACGAAGGCGGAGCCAGAGTACCCGAGGGCTGAGGTTGAGCCGTTGTGATGGAGAACAGAGGCGACGCCAAAGGGAAGGAGGAACCAGCTGCAGCCGAAGGGGTGGAGGGATGGAGCACGGAGGACGGCCCGAAAGTCCGTGGCGGAAGGAGAGTGACGACTGACCAAGGGGGAGCTGGTCTACGAGGGAACTTGGTGAAACCGTAAGGCCGAGGGTCTCCGGTGGAGCCGAAGGTGGGAGGAGCCAAGACGGAGCCAACAGGTCGACAGGCCGAGATGGAGCAAAGAGAACAGAGGCAGAGACGCAGGATTCTCTTGCACGGGCGCTACAGGTGGATGCACGACCTGCGGCTCGACGTTACAGGGACTCCCCGGATCGATGAAATGAATAAATCGTAGTTCATAGTGCTGTCTAGAAACAGAGATGATGAAGGTACTGTGTGGGATAGGGTGGGAGTCGCTAACTCTTCACTGAAGTTTTTCAGCCAGTCCTCGTTGTCTTCACTACTCCCTCGTCTGCTGATGTCGTGGGCTCACACCCCTGGTCAGACTCACGATGGAGCTGCACTTCTGGGGCGAGGGTCAGCTCTGTCATCTTCTCCTCGTGGCTGGCGGTAGTCTCCGCCTGCGGGTGGCTCACACAAATACTCTGAGATCGAGGGTGGTGATTTGGGCTCTGGGTCTGGCTGTGCTCTGGACCGGGGCCGGACGCTCTCCAGAAAACCTAATGATGGTTTCCCTCTAGTTAAGCCCAGAGGTGTCTGGGAGGTCAACTTTCAGAACAGGTTCCTCAGGGTTTCGTCGCTGAAAGGGCTTGTGAGTGCAAGATGACAGAATTTAGTAGCAAAGGTCAGAAAATCGGTGCTCTCCTGAGCCACCAAAATAAGTCGATCTCTTAAATCCATTTTAGAGGTCCCGTCATCTGTCATGGGTGGTTGCAGGAAGGTAGACGAAGACGAAGATAGAGTTCCAACACAAAGTTTTAATAACAATAATCCAACTGACAGGTGAACAGGATGCAACACACACTTAACATAGACATGACTGGACACTGAATGACGGTAAAGGGGAAACTTAAGTAGTGAATCCAAACGAGGTAATAAACGATACACATGAACTCATAATGACAGAAACCATGATGACCAAGGAGAGGCAGGAACTGAACCAAGGAACACATGAGATGAATGAGGATAAAACTAAAAGTCCATGAAAACTAAACACACTGAACATAATGATGACAGATATATTATTACAATTGTAAAAACATTTTTTATACTTAATTTTTTCTTTTAAATGTAATTTTCAGCACCCTTACACAAGTCTTCAGTGTTACATGATCCTTCAGAAATCATTTTAATTTGCTAATTTGCTGCTCAATAAACATTTATTATTATTACTATTATCAATGGCAACTGCAAAACATTTTTTCATGATCCTTTGATGAATAGAAAACTTTAAAACATTTAGGCACACATCCCTGTTTTTTTTTTTTTTTTTTTTAAATGACTAATTTGCTTTAGAAAAACCCAGGTCATAGATAATTCAGAGAGTATAGGCTACTCATCACCAACGCTCTTCTAGCGTGAATGGTGGTGAGACAAGCTGGAACTAGCTGTGGATGCTGCAACAGTTATCAAACCATTTTGAAATCCGACTGACTTGTCCTTAGGTGTGTAGATTGTCCCGAAAGAAAATATTCTAAATTATATTAACATTGTTATAGATTTTAGTATTAATCACAAAACTCAGTGTTACTTGTCTGGCATAATTAATGTTGTGCTATTACTGCCCACAAGAAGAAAATGGTAAACATGCCATTAAGTCAAGTGCACCGTTTTAAAGAGACGGGTTCAGGTCCAGGGGCCTGATGTATAAATGTTGTATTAAATTGTAATGCATCAATTAAGCATTTCTCTAAAGTTCCCACACTTGTGATACACTCCTGGAGAAAACTCTATTAACCTGTTAATATCAATGATTGGTTTAAACATGCAATACAGACACAGATTTAACTGCTGTGATATATAAAATGTCTTTATCTTAAAATTAAATAAAGCCACTTCTCATAAAGAAACAAGAACATGGTCTTTTTAATGAATGATTTATGCATTCTTTATAATAACTTGTATACAACATTCTTCATTCTCTCAAGCAGACATTTATTTGTATACATTAAATATAGATGAATTATTATTAAAGCTATTGAAGTTATTCAGTCAAGAATATTGTGTATTTTTTCTCTTTTTCTTTTGTTGTTTGATTGTATTAATGATGGACAGCAGCATGTTAATTAGACTGCTGTCACTTTAAGGCTGAATGCAGGGATCCAATACATTGATACACACCCAATATTAAGACATAACTGATTGTATTTACGTGAATATTCCCCAGAACTGATATTTTGATGTCATTTTGTGTATTTGTCCATTCAAGCGGGAAAAGAGGTGAAAGAGCTCAATTCAGTCCTTCCAGAAAAACGCAGAGGTTTTTTTGTGATTGTTGCGGGCAAAAATCCTTGATTATGCGGCCCGTTTTCTTAAAAAGTGCGATGGAATATGCGGGATATTTATGTAATTTTATGCAATAAAATTGTGGGAACTTGCAAAAATTGCGGGAACTTGCAAAAACTGCGGTTTGATGAAAAAGAGAAAAAAAAGTGATTCCCCCAACACCCTGTTCTCACTAGGCTACTACCTTAATGTAAAGAGTCATTTCTTATTACTTCCTATGATAAGCAAGCATACTACATCACAGAAAGTGCTGGGGATATTTAAGTTCTCATCTTGTTTTATTTCAGACCTTAAAGGGGGCACTTGGCAACTCTAGTCATTTCTTCGCTGATTTTCACTTTTGTTGTCGCATGTTTTCTCATCGAGCTCCCCCTACAGCTGTGCGGCGTATATTTTCACAACACTGTCATAAAAAAAACGTACTTGCGGCACCTTCCTCCCGCTTTCTACCACTGCTCATGTGCATTTGTTATTATCGGAGCTGGCCAACTTTATCGTGTGGACTGTGGAGCTATGTCTACCGAGTGGGTAATACATCATACACAGTATCATAGAATTATGTCGAATTGCCATAAAGCAGTTTGTGTTTCTCGCTCGTTCTCGCTTCTCACGAGACTTCTATTTCCAATTTATTTAAGGTTGGTTTTCCGCCTGGGGACGCTGGGGGGAGCGGGGAAAGTCACCATTCTCTCCAGAACAGGTTATTGAACCATTCAAATGATTTCTAAACGGTTGAAATAGTTGCCAAGTGCCCCTCTAATAAAAACATCAAACTTACAAAACATTGATGAGTCAAACAAGTTCTGTAGCTTTACAAAAAGAATATGCTACAACTTCTGTAAAAATGAATAAATAAAATATAAAAAAATAAAGTGTGCTCCTGTTTTACAGCTTTTCGATGATGTTCACGTTGCGTAATTACGTCACTTCATAACGTTGCCATGGCAACAGGGGGAAATGGCTGCTCTTGTGTGAAGCAAACGCAACATTTTTCAACTTTCTGCTTAGATATATGTGACTTTTTTGCAACGAAAATGCGAGGATAATGAAATCATGCAAGCCCCGCATATTTTGCAGGGATATCGCCAATTTATGCGGCAAAAGTGCAGCGTATTTGAAGAAATGCGGCCCCCGCATAAATATGCGGATTTTGGCTGGTTATGCACTAAATCATGCGATCGCATAATGACGTTTTTCTGGAGGGACTGTCAATTCCGGACTCGTGAGCTGACGTCTGAGAGGCGACTCTGTGTGCGCACAGAAAACCAGACTGAATTGAGCTCTCTTTCGCATCCTCAAGCTTTTCAGACTTAACCATATGTCTGCTCTTCTCCTTCTCCCACTGTCCCACACGTTTACATTTATGAACGTTTTACGAGACATGCAGCAAGTGTGTGCCAACTTATGTCCCGTCAGGTAGATCAGCATGTTACAATTCAAACGTGAGCATCTACCAGGCAGGACATCAGCTCTGACTGGATCCCTTCCCAAATCGTCCCTCCCAAACATTTTCGTCTTGTTTTTATTTGTTGACCCAAATGTCAATAGATTTTCATCATAGTTTTTGTCATTCATGTTTTTTATTTAGTTATCGTCTCTTTTTCATCAGTGAAAAAACACCTTGTTGGTCAAAGAGTAGCCTAATGATAACCATTTTCATGGTCTTCCCAATATTATGAAAAATACCATTGTATTTGAAGGATATAATTTGATGGAAATGGTAAGATATGCATGGTTTTTTTATGTTTTGCCAGTGAGATTCTGAGTTAGACAATTATTTAAAAAAAATTTCTTTCTTTCTTTCTTTTAAAACACTGCATCACAAATACTGAATGATTTTTAGCAATGTACTGTAATATTTCCCTAATCTCTCCTAACTAGTAAGCTCCATATACAGTTATCTCGGGGAGAAGATGCATGTATGCACAATCTTCCGCTGACTAGGTTTTATAAAGGGAATTTTGCACAGGTTCTAAAAGTATGCATGGTTTTATAAATCTGAAAAATTTTAGGATGAAATCTACGGAGTGTTTTATACACGAGGCTCCTGGTGTTTGGATTGCAGTGGTAGGATGATGCTGTATAGTACATTTATGTTTATCTGATCATGGTAGTCTACTGCATCCTCCACAACCTAGCACCAAAATAGTCTCATGTAATGCACTAAAGTTTTGGGTGTAACCTGGTACATCATTCCTGGGGACTCATAATTCCTGGGGACTCATAATTCCTGGGGACTCATAATTCCTGGGGACTCATAATTCCTGGGGAATCATAATTCCTGAGGAATCTGGCTTAAACAACAGACAGTGCATGCAAACAAGCCATGCTTTCAACTAATTCTTAGCTAATTCTCCACCATCTAGAGCCCTTATAAAAAGCCAACCTCCTCACAAGGGCTGTTATTATTTAAGCCATTGTAAAAATAATTATGTAGTTTACAAGTTGCTCTCAGCTCTCCGAGTGCCCGCTCAATGACCCTCTGTGTGTATGCTAATATAATGCAAGATAGACAAGTAGAGACGGTTCTCTAAGTGCTGAGTAAGTGTCTTATTAATGGTTTGCTAAATGCTAATACATGCAGAGCCGATGGATAATTATTGTGTTCTTTGTGCTTTTTAAAGGGGTTTCGGATTGCTGGAGTGGTATGAATATAGCTTTTGTGCCCTTTGGTGAGTTAGACCCTGTAATGAATGGCAGGTTGACTGCAGCATGCACAATGGCTCACCAGCGTCGTCTGCTCCAGGCTAGCCCTGCCCAGAGAACTCACACTGCTCTTGCGGGAACCCAAGGAAAAGCTCTGCCTTTCAGATGGGTACAAGCCTCTGGCGTTGGGTGCAGGTGCCAAATCCAGATGCCCATTAGGGGTCAAAGTGGAAATCTTGGGATCTGCACAAACAAACAAGCCAAGACTGATTAGATCACAAAAACATCAGAAGGAAACAAGGCACAATACGTTGATAAACAATTTGTTTTGTGTTTGTGGTGCGGAATTAAGAAGTATATTCCACCAAGCATATTAGAGTTTCAAGCTTCTGTGATATCTGGTATCTCTAAACCCTCCTCTCATGCCAGGCGACACTGGTGGGAGCATGTAGATTTGTCTTCTGTCTGTGGAGAGCTTCAGTGTGTACATGCATTATTCATAATGTCATGTCCTCAGATCTCACAGCACCATGATTTTCTTCACCAGAATTAATGAGACATTTGCTTCGTTCACAGTAGTCCTGGACCATCGGCCATCGAGAGCACCAAGAGAATTCCCTGTGAACTGGCAAATGATTTGGCCCGCTGCCCTGTGTGTGTTTTTGATTTTAATTATTACTATTTTATATCATTACCCTCCCAATGTATTGCCTGCCCAATGTACCAAAGTGATCATTTCCGAATTCAGCATTCAATCATAAATTAATAATAAATAATGAATCTTGACTGGCAACGGTACGATTCGGTTCACATCCGCTCAGCGCATCTGCCAAACAGTTTCCAATAGAGTAATTAATGCGAGGGAGTTGAGGATGAAGAGGAAATGCGGCCAACGCTATAGGAAGCTAGCAATTGTTAGCATTTGGCTGAAGGCTGAAGGTCTGGAATTCATAGCAGCTTTCTTTGGCCAAGGCCCGCCCATAAGGCTGTTTGACCGACATGTAAAACAACCAATTACAGATCATTTCGTTCAGCGTCACGTTTCGGGGCGTGGAAATGTCCCCACAACAACAGACCTGCGTGCAACAAGTCAGTCAGCATAGAAAATCAAAGAAGGAGAAGAAAACTTCAAGAGTCTATGCCGTGAACCTCGCATACTTTTGAGAATCCTACGTTCAGCTGATCTTGATAAATGCTCATTGTCACTCATGTAAACACAACAGTTTTTCTTCCGCAATCACACGTCTGCGCTTTGTTTCCCGGCGGACCGAAAACAAACGCGACACTCGCGCCCCCCGGAAATCCGATAAAATTCAACCAATCAGATGACGACTTCGACATTCCTGAAGTGTTTCCAGTTAAGTGTACCATATGCATCAGACGTTCCGTGGGCGTGACGTCTGAGGCTGAGACTAGCATTTGGGCAGCAACCCATTACTATCGTCAGTCAAAATACTGTATGCTAAAGGACATCACTATTATCTATTGTAAAGTTACATTAGTAATTTAGCAGACATGGTATAGTATAGGTAGGGAGGGAGCTAGGGCGGAAAACAGCACAAAAATATGAGTCATCATATTAATGCATAATAATTTAGGAAAATTTGAAAATTTGTTTAACTATATTTGTATGAAATATAGTTTTGTTAAATCTTGGGTATTTAAATCATTCTAAGATGACAAACAGCATCGACACATTGTCCTTAATACTTTTATGAATTTAGATTTTTGCAAACAAATTACAATTCTGTTCTGTTCTGTTCTGTTCAGTAGACTTGCTAGAGAAGAAGTGACAGATACAAGAATAGCATAGCAAAAAAGTACACACACAAGGGAGTGAATATGGAATGTGCCGTTCAGAGAATATTTAATCATTTTGCACAGCCCCAGCCTAAGGATTTAGACCAGGGGTCGGCAACCTATGGGATGTGTGAGAGAGAGGTGTAGCCTATGTGTTTCATTCAGATAAAGTACCTCATAATTTATACAGATCTACATTTTGAGGTAATCATTTCTCATAGTAACACAGCTTGTTTTATTAAGGTACAAGTTATTAATAGCCTCCTATTAAAGTGTGAGAATTAAACTGTGCAAGTCAATGAAAGCACGCAGCTCTGATAAAACTCTTGATAAACCATTAGTGCGTCCACTGGGCATCACGCACACACAAGTTACTGACTGACAGCTTATAGCTTGTCCCGCTGTACATAGTCAATGCTATACATTTCTGAGATATTCAACCAAGTATATTGAGTCCTATTAAACATTCCACACACATCAAAATGACTGAGATGCATGTGGAAACTCTGTTCATGCGTAGCTAGTCACTTCATGTGTTTTCTCTGATCGGATGGCTAAAAGTCCAAAAGAAAGGGCATTGCTTCAGAAATATTTAAGGTTCTGGACTTTTTCTATGTTAGCTATTATGAATATTTAAAATATTTTTATGTGTATTTGTACATGGGGTTGTGGCACAGTGATTAACTCAAAAAGGTCGTTGACCCCTGATTTAGACCTTTTTTTATGAGATGGCCATACAAAAAATAGGGTTGTCTGTGGTTTCAAAATTTGTTGTGGGTGTATGGGATGGCCTGGAGGAGAGTGAGATTTCCTGGCCTGAAATTGTGTCCTAGTCTGGGCCTGGTTCGAAGTTACAAATTTCTGAAGTTTTAAGCAACTAAAATTGAGACTCGAATATTACATTGTGTATTGTGTTAGTACGGCTAGTACAGCATATTAATCTGGGTCACACATGCTCAAAAAATAATAAAAAAAAAATGTTCAAAAATTCTCTCACATTCTGCTCACCAAGGCTGCATTTATTTGATCAAAAATACAGTAAAATAGTAATATTGTACAAATATGATTACAATTTAAAATAACTCTTTTCTATTTTAGTATATTTAGATTGTAGTTTATTTCTGTGATGAGAAACTTTCAGCATCATCTTCAGTGTCACATGATCCTTCAAAAATTCTTATAATAGGATGATTTGATGGTCAATACTTATCAATGTTGAAAACAGATGTGCTGCTTAATATTTATTTATTAACATTTACTTGAAATAGAAAACTTTTGTAATATTATAAATGTCTTTACTGTCACTTTTGATCAATTTAATGCATCCTTGCTGAATTAATTAATTAGTTAAAGCTGCGGTCTGTAACTTTTTTGTGTTCAAAATTGACAAAATGTATATAATAAGCGAGTAAATAATGAATCCATTTTCCTAACCATGTTTTGTATTATCCTGAATCACCACGGTACACCTATAATAAGAGTTTATATTTGGACTAATTTAGGCTGGTATGGGTCTTACCACTGTGGAGTAGCCCAGTACCTGCGTGACTCGTCATAGACATAAACAGAGCGAAGTAGTTCCAGCTACAATGTTCTTCCGCAACACGCATGCAGTTCTGTTTATAACCACTAGAGTGCCAAAAGTTAGGGACTGCAGCTTTAATTAATTTCTATAAAAAAAAAAGTCTTACTGACCCCAAACCTTTGAACAGTACAGAACTAAATGACTTGGTCTGACATTTGCAAAACACTGGAGGCTTACTGTATGGATATTAATTTAACATGTAACCGACCATAGTGCAGTGTACTGGAATTGTAAAAGACTGTTATTAACCTATCATTTAGATAATTTGGAAAGGAGTTCTGAACCTCAAAATACTGTTTCTGCTCAGAATGAACCAAAATGAAAAACCACAGTATTTCCCAGAAGGTTCAGAAACACACAGGAAAACACAGCTGTGCTTTAATAACACTTCTTCAATTATTCCACAACTCAGTACCTGACAGCTGGAGTGAGTCCTTTTTCTCGGTTTCCTCTAAGTTACAAGAGGATCTGTCATCATCCGAGTAGGAACGGTTAGCATCTCCCTGTTTCAGACAGAAAAAAAAAAAAAAAAAGAAAGGGACACAAGGTCAAATCGACATAAGAAAAAAAGTAAGGTTGAGTTATGAAGCAACTACTGATTAAGTCCATTAATACAGCACAGATTTCACTTTTAAAGTGAGGTTAGTTATAAAACATGGTTGTCACATAACCATACTTTCCACTGCAAAATAGTGTTAACAATGGTATTCAAGTGCTGTGTGAACCATAGACAAATAAAAGACGAGTGTGAGGGACAGAATTTCTCTTGTAAAATAACTTAACAGCCATGAGCATTTTATAATAGACATGTCATCACGTTGCCCTCCCTCTGAAAGTCAGTTCGCATTTGCTCTAGTTCCCCATTCACCCTCACATTGTGCCTCAGATCTAGACCATAACCTGGAGGCGCATTTCTACAAGCTCCCTGGAGAGATAACCTACTCCTGCAGACTGGATACTTGCCCGTGAAACCCTATTTATACAAGCATGCACATTGAAAATATATTCACCGGCAAGAACAACAAAAGCCTTTGGAAAAATGCCCTAGGACAGCGGTAAGATATTAGAGCCACGGCATGTTCTTGCTGTCATTTTGTTGCTAAACACCTGAACAAATTTGACCTTGTTAAGGAAAGCATCACAGACACCAGATGCTTTTCAGGAGAACGTAGTCAAATAACCTCATTGAGCGTGAAATTTTCATATTCAGCAACTAAACCTGAAAGCTATTGGACCTGTTACGTCTGGGATTGCTTTGTGCATCAACCAAAACACTCAATTACCCAGATGCCCTAAGGTGAGTACCTTACCTCAGCCTGAAATCCTTCAACTAAGATGGCCACAAGCAGATTGAACAGAACGTAGTTTCCAAAAGTCATGAGCGCCACAAAATACAGGGCTGCCAGGGGGGAGGTAGAGGCCATGCCATTATACAAAACCATGTTCCAGTCCTCTTGAGTTAGGATCTGCAGACACAAATGTTATCAAATACTGTTTAACTTTAGATTAAACTTGGGAGAAAATTGGTTAAATAAATAAATAATTCTCTCTCTCTATATATATATATATATAAATACAGTCGTGCTCAGAATTAATGGTACCCCTGGTAAATATGATACCCCTGGTAAATATCCTTTTGATCTTTCATTCAAAAAATTGCCAAAAATCTAACCTTAAATTGAAGTAAAAGAATTGAAAGTGGGAGGGAAATCACATTATGAAATAAATGTTTTTCTACAAAACACGTTGACCATTATTTATTTATTTAATAAGCAGCCAAGAAAAAAAGTAAATAAATTAATTAATAATCTCAAATTATATTATGTATAATGACTTTTTCCTATCTTAGGTATGTATATATATATATATATATAATATATAATTATTATTATTATTATTTTTTATAGCATGTAATAGTCTAAAAACATTTCAACTCTGCAGAGAATACCCAGGTGTGTGTGATTAAATTGTGTTTTCACCCAGCTCCCAGTTGCCCTGTGTTCCCCATCACCTGCAGCAGTGCTTTCATAAGTAAGATGAGTTTTGAGAGCGCTACGCACCTGAAACACCGTGACAATAGCCCAAAGCAGGGAGTCGAAGTTTTTTCTGTCAGGAACCGTGTCCCCAGCCTCTGTCTTCAGGCTGAACTTACAGCCGAATATGTGCATTCCCAGAATACTGCAAAAACAAACAGACAAACAAGCTTTGAATGTTAATCTCACGTTTAGATATTCTAATACCGTATGTTTCCGATCAACAGGATGTGAGATGAATGAGTCTGTCAGAGGTGAGGGGCCTATAAAAATGATATCAGTGCTATGTGAGGAGACATATGTCCTGGTTGAACAGCAGCCAAAGATGAGATCAGTCACGTTGGAGAGACGGATCACAGAACTCAGAATGCAACCCGCACCAAGAGATAAATGAGACAGAGGTGATACTACAAACATATGCATGCAGTGTTGGTGGTAATGTGTTACAAGTGATAGACCACTTCACATTTTATTTTTAAAGGAATAAGTCAAATAATGTGTTATTTCTTAAATTTAAACCATAATATCTGAGTTATAACGGAACACCTCTCATTCATGTAAAGGCCCTTGCACACTGAGTCCGAAATTTTCGTATGCGTTTTTTCGTATTCGTGATTCGGTGGCTCTGAATTGTCAAAACACCATTCAAACTGCTTGCTACGGATGCGAAAGACGCTGAAAATCGAAACCGATTCGATTTTTTTTAATGACGGACGAAAGTTTCGGAGGCAGTGTGCAAGCGTGATTGACATAACGTGAGGTCGTATTTATTTTTTAACGTGCGAAAATTTCGGACGCGAATTTCAGACTCAGCGTAGGCCTTAAGGCGTGTAAGTATTGTAGTATGTGTGAGTTTTGTAGATCTAGGGAGGGGGTCGGCAACCTATGGCATGCATGCCAGCATTGGCACAAGGAGGGATAATCACTGCCATGTGACAATAGCTAAAGAAGTGCATGTATTTAATTTAAATAAAGTCCTTTGGACTTGCATAAGGACATGCATTTTAAGGTAATCATTCCTCATATTCACACAGTCTGTTTTGTTAAGTTAGGCGCAATATAAATACTATTAAAGTGTGAGATTTTAACCTGCGCAAGCAAGCAAATCCGACAATCCATTTGCATCTGGAATTATCCCTCCGCGTGCCATACTGTAGGTTGCTGACCGTTGTTCTAGAGAGGGCGTGTCATGCTTTTGACGTACAGCAACATTTCCTTTCAATTGAAAAAAGTGTTTTTAAAACATTTACAATTTAAAAATAATGCTGATAAGCAAAAATAAATCAGAATAGTGGACAAAATAACAGAATCAGGTGCTACCCAGTGTTATTTTGGTATCACATGCTATTATAGATTTTAGTCTTATTTTGAATGTTTTTATATTTTTGTTTTCCTTTTAATCTAAGTTTTGTTGTTTTTGTCATTTTTATTAATTTGTTTATATGTTGATATAGCTTCTATACATTTTTATTGCAGTTTAAGTTTGAGTTATTTTAGTACATGAAGTTAAACTAAATGTTTCCTTATCAACAAGCTGAGATAAAAAATAAAGTTTTTTACATTTTATCTCAGCTGACATTTATTTTATTTTTATTATATTTATAGTTTTAGTAAAGTATAATAACACTGGTGCTGCCTTAGAGCCGCGGTGGATTTGCTCTGCCATGGTACTCGCAGGTATAGTCGAAATAAACTTTGCTGTTGTCTTGACAACTGGCTCCAGCCTGGTTGTTAATGGTTGTGCACAACTTAAGACATTAACGAATGTCTGGTTACACTTTATTTTAAGGTGTCCTTGTTACAGTGTAATTATACATTTAAGTACTCTGCCATATTAATTAACATCATGTACTCACTACCTAATTAGGGTTATGGTTTGGTTTAGAGTTAGTTGCTTGTAATTATGCATAATTTACTGTTATTTTTATAGGAAGTAGTACTAAGTACATGTAAAATGTGTAACAGAGACACTGTTAAATAAAGTGTTACAGAATTTCTATATATGAAATATAAAGTGTTTATATGAAATATGCCTATATCAAATCTATAAGATGTTTAAATCAGATTTTAAAAAGGCTGAAAAAAACCTAGTGTTTGGCTGAATTTTGTTTTAGTATTATATGTTTCTGAAAGTGAGTAAGTAAGTGAATGAATGAATGAGTGAATGCATGAGCGAGTGAGAGAGAGGGAGTGAATTAATGAGTGAGTGAGTGAAAAAGTGAATGAATCCCACTTTTGAGGAAAGAAAAAATAAGACAAAATAGAAACTTAATGTTGCTTTTCCTAAAAATTAAAACACAATTATAATGCATTACTTTAACCACAACATCCCACAAAACTCCATTCAAAACACCTAGTGAAAGACAAACTTAATTTGTGTAAAACAGTTCTCTATGCGGCAGAGCAATGGTGAAGCGGATTAATAATTGGCACAACTATAGCTTCCAGTCTGTAATGCTGATTCATTCTCTCAATTTCCTCCAAAGACACGTCATCTGAGGCATCTGCTAACAGTTACTAAAGCCTGTTGACTGTACCCGCAGGCTGGGGACAACTATCCATTTAAGAGACATAAATCAGGGCATCGTTTTCAGATGAGGGGTTATAAATTGAGATGCTTGGTGGGGGGAGGGGGTCGGGGGCGCTGAAAGCTAAACGTGAGTGGGAAAGACGGATCGGCAGGATTGGTTTATGCACTCAATCCTGCAGTAGCCTCCATCTGTCTCGGTGCACTCTGCTGGAATTGCAGCGCTGCAGGGGAGAGGCGGGTGAGTCAGTGGGCACCAGGGGCCTGAGTGTTATTGTTCTGCTCTCCATCAATCTCACTCTGATCCTTATGGGCCTGTCACTCGCAGCTGAAGCTAAGGTGTGCTCTGAGCAGCCTGTGCAGCTGAGACGCTCAGCCATGCAGAGCCCGGCGTGATCCAGCTGTGAGGAGGGGGCTGCTGTCAGGTGTGGGATTTTATAAACCCAGGCTGCTTTGTGTGATAAAGTGTGTGGCGTTTATTGCAACCAAGTGTGAGCTCGGATAAGGACAGAGACTATGAGTTAGCACACAGATATGAAACACATTGGGTTTCATTCACTAATAATTGCATACGAGACCCACTGGAATGCAATTACGAAGCCCAACCCACCTGAATATGAAGATAAAGAGCATTAGTAACATGCAGAAGGTGGCCACATTGTCCATGGTCTTCATCAGGACCACCAGCTGTCTGCGCAGAGCTGGCATGAACCGCACCAGCTTTATGACCCTCAACAGTCTGAACGTCCTCAGGACGGACAGACCCCCGTCAGACTGCCCAACGATCTCGCATACACTATACACACATACACAAAAAAGCATTGATTCAATTGTATAAAAGGGTGTTTCTTTAACTTCAGACACTTGTGAAATTTTGGCAATTGTCTGTTGTTAGTAATGTTAGTGTTTATGAAGCACAGCTCACACTTTAGTTACTTTCAAACCAAGCAGCTTTCTGTTGGTCAACGCAGTGAATTCGCTGAGAAATCTGCATGGGGAAATCTTTTGTCTTCATGATTTGTGATCATTAGTCATCATCATCATATACTGTGATCATCATATACTTTCAATCTTAATATGATATTGTAATAATATTTTATGATGGATTTTCGTATTTTAAGTTTAAAACTATGACGATATTTTTTTTCTGGCTTTCTATTGTAGTTTCATTTTAACTATCAATAGTTTTTCTTTGCTCTCAATAAAGTTTTTGCTAAAGTGTTGGTTACCAAGAAGACAATAGTGTCAGTAATTATGTTTGAGATGAAACGTGCAAAGAAAAAGAAAAAACTAGGTTAATATCACAATTTTATTTGAGTTATTGTCAGCCAAACTCTTGGCTTGAAATAAGCCTTAACAAAACAAAGGAATCAGTCATTTAATCAAAATAATTTCCACCATTGAATGCTACATCGTTTTGAGAAGTATTTAATTACTTCGAGGGGGAGAAAATCTCCTGTTAACTATATAAATTTATAGACTGTTGGACATTGATAGTTCACAAATTAAATAGTCTAGAGAGTGTGTGAAAAATGTATCAACAGAGTTTATTTGCTAAATGTCCACAGGACCAAAGAAATTACCACATTTGAAGAAACACCCATATAACAGTATAATTATTTTGATTAAAAAAATATATATATATTTAAAATATAATCAATTATTACAATAAAAAAATGCATAACACCCACAATGTGATTTTTTTCAGACATTCGACAAACTATAAAAGTAAATCCATTTACCTGATGATCACAATAATGCCATCAAAGATGTTATAGGGATTTCTCAGATATGAAAAGAAGCCAAAGGCAGTGAGCTTGAGAATCATCTCCAGGGTGAACATACTGGTAAACACTATGTTACAAATCTCCAGGACATCAGTCAGTTCATCAGGCTGTAGACAGAGAGAGAGAGAGAGAGAGAGAGAGAGAGAGAGAGAGAGAGAGAGGGGACAAAGAGGTTTGGATGGATAAAAGGAGAGGTAAATGTGGAGAGGTCATTTCAGATCACTGCATTGCTGTTCAAGAGAGGGTGTGCATTGTTGCATGGACAAGATCAGCTCATGACAGCAGGCATAAGTTCCTCAGTGAGGCTGTGACCTCTCATATGATATAAAGGTCAGAGAAAACGGAGTTTAAACCTGAACAATTCCTTGTGGAACGTCAGTTAGGAAAATATCAGGGGTGATGCGAGTACACCGATACTGTGCATTATAAGTAACTTACTGCATATCTGCGGCTTATTCTAGCCAAGATCCACCCACTTACACAGGAGGAAACTCATTGACATGAAAATTAGGGGTGGAACGGTACATGTATTCGTATCGAATCGAAACGGTACGGGCGTCACGGTTCGGTGCACGAATTTACACGGAGAATACACGGTATAAAAATAAATAAAACTCGCGTGCAAATTAATGAATGTAATGCGGAACTACTGTTAGATACGCGGGTTCTTTAGGGACACAATCTGTACCATCGGTTTAGCTCTGAACGCGCGTTCACTTCAAACGTTGGCTTTATACGCGCGTCGAAACTAGACGCGAATTTGAGGCTCTATTCGCGTTTGGTGTGACCGTGACCGCATAATGAACAGGCAGCGATGTCAAGATTGCAATGCTGGAGTGTGTGTGTGTGTGTGTGCGCGAGAGAGAGAGAGAGAGAGAGAGAGAGAGAGAGAGAGAGAGAGAGAGAGAGAGAGAGAGAGAGAGAGAGAGAGAAGAGAGAGAGAGAGAAAGAGAGAGAGAGAGGCGCGCGGGCGCGATCGAACTGTGTGTGTGTGTGAGAGAGAGAGAGGCGCGCGGGCGCGATCGAACTGTGTGTGTGTGTGAGAGAGAGAGAGGCGCGCGATCGAACAGTGGAAACATAAAAAACATACTCCGTCATTTTGTTCAGATCATTAAACCTGCAAAGTGTTTACTTATATTTGTGTACACTCGCAATAAAACACAACATTGTGCTTTTGTCAAACTGTAAACTCTTGTCAAACTGTAACCTACAACTGTCACCCAACCAAAATCACACACAAACACACACACACACACACGCACACACACACACACACACACACACACACAACCGATCATGTTTTGTTATGTTTTTGAAAAAGTCTCTTTTGCACTCCAAGGCTGAATGTCTTTGATCAAAAATACAGTAAAACAGAAATAAGCATTTTCTATTTTCAGTGTCAAATGATCCTTCAGAAATCATTCTATGCCGATTTGATGCTCAAGAAACAACTATTATTATTAGCGTTGAAAACTGATTCTTAATACAGTGCTGCTTAATATATTTGTGAAATTCATGATACTTTTTTTTTCAGGATTCTTTGATGCGTACCATTTCCACAATTATTTGAAATATAAATATTGGGTAACATTATAAATGCAAACAACTTTTTTTATTGTGCTGTAGTGTAGTATTACTACTACAGTAATATACACACTAACCTTGCATCTTGTCCACTTAACCCAACCTAAACCTAAGCTTTGTTTCATGTATATTGTGTAAAGCCAGCCATTCAGTTTGTAGCTGGTAAGTTAAGCCAGAGCTCCAAGCATCAGACAGTCAGTGAACAGATTGTGGGTGGTCTGTCGAATGCTGAGACTAGTGTAAGATCTACTGTGCTTAGAAAGGGATCAACAGACCACCCCGATCTGCTTCAATACACGCTTGTAATCTGACATCACATAAATCCATTACACCTTATCTGTGTGTGTATGTTCATGTGCACGAGCGAGAGGGCGACCGAATTCCAGGGGAGCGAGAGCAAATTCTGATTTGAGAACACTTCATTCGATGTCCCTTTTGTTCCTTTTTCCTCCATTCTTTTATTGATCAATCTTCCCATTGACGAGTTAAGGCCGAGAAAACACAACTGAAGGACGAATGAAAACCAAACCACAGGCAGCTCCAGGGAGATGCCATTTAGAGAAATTGAATATTGACACAGCAATCAGGAGTAATAACAGCAAAACAACACTGTAAAATACACCCATAGCTTCTCCCCTCTCCCCTTCCTCAAGCTGTACGGTAAACTTCTCTAATCAATCCATCAGCAGATTGTCTCATTATCTAAGCTATTTAGATAATATAGTACTCTACTTAAAAGAGCAGTTAAGTGATTTTTTGTAAACCATGAATAAATTATCACCAGAAAGGGAAAGATCACTGAAATATATCTTGAGAAACCTACACGCTTAAAAATACACATTCCAAAAGAGGGCTTTTATAGGTACGCAATAGAAGAACTTTGGGTTCCCCAAAGTTGTCTTTTTCTTAGTGTGAAAAACATTTGATCTAAATATAAAGTACCCTTTTCACTATAAAAATAAACGTTTGTGAAATGGAAAGGTTCGATTAATGTTAAATGGTCTTCATGGAGCCATTAATGGCAATAAATAAACTTTATTTTTAAGAGTGTAGATGCTTTTTTTCGGCCAATCAGTGGACTTTCAGGCGTTTGCTGGCTGTCAGTCATTTTGAGTGTTTGCTGACATTTCTTCGGAGGGTGGGATTTTGGAGACCGGGGGGTTAGTTTAATGACTAATCTCTATATCCAAATTTGGGGACTTCCCTGCTATATAGTATGTGAAAGACATTATTTCAATTGAGTGTTATGTCAGAATATGCAGTATTCGTTAAACAGTAGGCAAAAAATACCCGGATTACCTGCTACTTTGACCAAGATACCATACCTATGGACATTTTATAGAACGTACTTTATTAACAGCTAAGATACTTAAAATGTTAAATGCATCCTCAATTTCAGGAAGAGGCAACAAAAGTGTTGCTAAAAACTTCCCACTATGAAATATCGTTACTCCAAAATTCTACTCCTTGTGGTTAAGCTGAAGTATTGAGTATATTTTACTCACCCTCATGTTGTTCTAAACTAAGTTTCTTTCTTCTGCAGAACATAAAAGTAGATATTTTGAGAAAGGTCTCTCTTTTTTTGTTTGTCCATATAATAGAATCAATAGTAACCCAAACTGTTTGGTTATCAACTTTCTTTAAAATATTTTTTTTTGTGTTCCACAGAAGAAAGTAAGTCATACAGGTTTGTAAAGTCATGAGGGCGAGTAAATGATGAAAGAATTTTCATTTTTGGGAGAACTATTTAATCCACAGTCGATCCACAATTCAAGCAAGCAACAAACTGCATTTGAAATATTAGTTAAATACAATGATATACAACATTTTAATAAATCAGCATTTTCAGCTTTGAAATAGCATAAGTTTGAGTATTTTGCAGTTTTATTCATGCTCTCACTGGTTGCTCAGACGATCCCACAATCCTTGTACAATCCTGGCACTCAGCTCTATGGAAGTAAAATAATAACAAATGTTTTTGAATCAAAAAAGATTGTTGAATTGCACTACTTGAAAAAATGTGCATTGCATTAACCGTGCTTGTATTTTAATGCATTGTATTTTTAGGGCTTGCATTTTTATGGGCTGAAATTCAACATGGTTGTATATTTAAGCTGTGAATATTTCAATTCAAAACATTTCACACACGTTTTCATTAATAAAAATTCAATAATCCATATTCACCTTTCAGATTTCATTTCCAAAATATTCATTCTGTTTAAAAATACAACCTATAATATTCGACAGGCAGTTTTCGGTCCATTTTATTTCGCTTTACAAATTCGCTTCCACAAATTCAGTGGTTCAAATTCGACATTTGATTTCCTGGAACGGCAGGAATATCAGTAGATTGCCGATTGATAATCTCCATAGCTGTTAGCAAGCCAATTTTATGCCAGTATCTGGGTATCTATCAGTGTAAAGCCCCTTGCACACCGAGTCCGAAATCTATGTCCGAAATTTCCGCACGTTAAAAAAATAAATACGACCTCACGTTATGTGAATCCCGCTTGCACACTGCCTCCGAAACTTTCGTCCGTCATAAAAAAAGTCGGATCGGGTTCGATTTTCAGCGTTTTTTCGCATCCGTAGCAAGCAGTTTGAATGTTGTTTGAATGGTGTTTTGACAATTCAGAGCCACCGAATCACGAACACGAGAAAACGCATACGAAAATTTCGGACTGCGTGTGCAAGGGCCTTAAAACTTTGCGTGTTACGTTCATATTCTGAGTCCGCTTGCCTGTTCCTATATCTAGTATAGACTACATCCCCAATAAGGTGGGAGTTTGGTCTTTTTTTATTACTGTATTAGTTCATTAAGCGTTAAAGGTTGTATCAGCGATTTCAGGCCCAAACATAAATGATCACATTCATCTAATCTTTCCTAACGATCCGCTAGCTGCCCGCCCCATAAGCAGGCTGTCAAAAAAACGCGTCTCTGTAGGCAGCCTAGGCTCTGAGATCTGCACACAAAAACAAATGGGTACAACCACCACTCAAAACCAAAATAAACAGTGTTCCAACCAATCACCGACAGGGGCGGGTTTTGTTTGTTTTTGCGCTCGTGCACGGCGCCTGCACGCGAAGTCAGAGCTGAAGAAGAAGCCAGCGCGTCTATCAACGGACCAGATACAGTGAACATGGAAGAGGCAATCCCCACGAAGAGAAGGCGGATTAGGGCGAGGGAAAACCGTCGTTATTCGTTAAAGAAACGAATAATAATTGGGAAGGCTTTTGAACGGTGGAGAGAGCTTAAAGATTTGAACATTTTTAAATCGGACGCTGAGGTTGCACTGTTTCTTCGAGTAGCTTCTAGTGCTGACTTTTTCAGATGTGAACTGTGTGTGAAAATATCCTTCTTTAAAAAATATGAGTAAAGCTCGACAAAACTTGGATAGCTCTAGCGAATATCAGATTGTACAAAAAGGGAGGGAGGGGCGAGCTAACTCGATTTGTTTGGGATCTCGCTTCAAACACAAACAGAAGTGACGTCACCCACAATCGCTGATACAACCTTTAAGTGTCCTGACCGCAGGGGAATCCTGGAGAATGACGTATTGAGGGAAACACTAGTTCTGCAGCACATCACCGCAATATAAAGTTAAAGGGATACTCCACTTTTTTTGGAAATAGGCTCATTTTACAACTCCCCCAGAGGTAAACTGTTGAGTTTTACCGTTTTTGAATCCATTCAGCCGATCTCCGGTTCTGGTGGTACCACTTTTAGCATAGCTTAGCATACATCATTGAAGTGGACAAGACCATTAGCATTTCTCAAAAAAAAATGACCAAAGTGTTTCGATATTTTTCCTATTTAAAACTTGACTCTTCTGTAGTTACATCGTGCACTAAGACCGACGGAAAATGTAAAGTTGCGATTTTCTAGGTTGATATGGCTAGGAACTATACTCTCATTCCTGCGTAGTAATCAAGAAACTTTACTGCCGTACCATGAGAGCAGCAGGCGCAGGCACTTAGTCCCGGTCACGTTGGAAGTTACCGAGCTGGGGACTATTTTCAGGCGCTGCGTCATATCATTACACCTGCTGCACTCATGGTACGGCAGTAAAGTTTCTTGATTACTACGCAGGAATGAGAGTATAGTTCCTAGCCATATCAACCTAGAAAATCGCAACTTTACATTTTCCGTCGGTCTTAGTGCACGATGTAACTACAGAAGAGTCAAGTTTTAAATTGGAAAAATATTGAAACTCTTTGGTCATTTTTTTTTTGAGAAATGCTAATGGTCTTGTCCACTTCAATGATGTATGCTAAGCTATGCTAAAAGTGGTACCGCCAGAACCGGAGATCGGCTGAATGGATTCAAAAACGGTAAAACTCAACAGTTTAACTCTGGGGGAGTTGTAAAATAAGCCTATTTCCAAAAAAAGTGGAGTATCCCTTTAAGAAAACTAAACAACCGAGAGAAATATATCTATTACCTCAGATTTTAGGTTTTATCTATACATCAGCATCGGGGAATAACATTATAATCTCGTTCACGGTAGAGAAAGCTGCTTACATGTACAAAACTAACTGTGAAGACGTAAATGTAAACACAGCTTTTATGTCTTTATCAGCTTTTCAATATACTGGCCCTGATCATCATCATCACAAATATTTACTGCTTGCTCCATTTTTGTAAATCTGTTTTTAAGAATGAATGTTACCCATTGCTCTATAGTTTTCTTCGTCAACAGCTGCTTGCACCCCCTGCTGGTGAGGTCGTCTAACTAACAGCTATGGAGATTGTAAATTGGCAATCTACTGATATTCCTGCCGTTCCCGGATGTGAAATGTTGAATTTTCTGTCGAATTTGAACCACTGAATTTGTGGAAGCGAATTTGTAAAGCGAAATAAAATGGACCGAAAATTGCCTGTCGAATATTAAAGGTTGTATTTTTAATCTGAAAAGTGGAATCTGAAAGGTGAATATGGATTATTGAATTTTTATTAATGAAAACGTGTGTGAAATGTTTTGAATTGAAATATTCACAGTAGTGCAACTCAACAAGCTTTTTTGTTTCAAAAACATTGGACACTGTTGCAGCAAACTCATCTGGTAGCATTGCTTAAAGCACCTGTATATTTACATTTACTCATTTAGCACACACTTTTATCCCAAGCAACTTCCACTGCATTCAAGCTATACATCTTTTCAGTCGATTCATTCACTGGGAATCGAACCTTGGTGTTGCCATGCTCAACTGTTTGAGCTACAGGAATCTTTGAATTCATTTGATTGTGCAGACCAAAAGCGTTGACAGTCATTCAATCGACAGTTGTGCGTGAGCACAAACACACACATGCTGCCCACACACATGTAAATATTGTGATTTAAACCATCCTTTTTGAGAGACAGGTTAAAACATAATGAGTCACAGCAGATGATGTCACCACACGTGATCTGTTTAACCATATCAGGTCGATTGGAACACAAACTCATGAGGAAAGACCTGTTGAACAGATACTGTGTTTATATGTGAACGTGGCACACAAGGGTTTCTCTGTCTAGCCTGCGTGGGCTGCATTTACATGATGCTTCACGTGTTAAAAATGCTGCGTAATAGAAGCCAATGGTGACTATCTCATTATATCTCTCTATATCCGTCTTTCCCCGCTTGTTGATATTTTTAGAGCCCACAGAGATGAGAAAACAGGCCCCACTGCAGGCAAGGCAGCAAAGACATGAGGGGGTGGAGGAGAGAGAGAGCGAGCAAGAGAGTGTACATGAGTAGTAGTAGCTTTCTACGTCTTCCAAAGATAATTAACTGCACTTTCAAGGCAAGAAAAAAATCCAACAAGACTCCAAAGGCCGTTCCACACGCTCTCATTACTTTGAATGGCAGGCCCTGTGAAGACTCTATCAGCACCGCAGAAAGAGCCGGCTATTACAGTAATGTGTGACATGATGAGGTTGAACACTTCTTTAGACTGGGTTCATTATGTGAACTGACTGCACTGCGGGTGAAATTACCTGGTTATGGTGCTCGATGCCCATGCTGATTGTATTGATGAGGATGGCGATCATAATCCCTCTGTTGAAGTACTTGCTTTCAACGATACCCCAAAGCTTCACTCTTATTTCATCCCAGATGTCTTTACATTTCCCGAAACAGGTGCGTTCACTCTTCAGCGTGTCCTCGGAGTCCTCGGAGTCCTCGTCCCCCCTCTCATCCAAGTGGTTGTCATCCCTGTCGGTCTCCTCCAGCGCACTCTCCACTTCCTCCCTATTGGGCGAATGCCCTGTCGACCCCTCCCCCTCCTTGAGTGACAGGGCTGCAGCACACTGTTGACACTCCTGTGGGTTTGGGGTGATGGAGAGGGAGATGGCGTTCTCTAGAGTTTGGGAGCTGTGCTCCAACTTGGTTTCGTGAATACAGTGAGGTTCTATAAGACAGAAGAAAAATTAAAAAAAAATTTGTTTGACATTTTCATATAACACAATAAATTTTTTGCCCGTCAGTTTCTTGGATAACTGCCATTATACTGCTTTGTAGTGCTGCCGCGATTAGTCGACTTAGTCGACGTAATCGACCATGCAAATTAGTCGACGGCAATTTTTTTAGTCGACGTGTCGTTTTACTATTGACCGCTATTTATTTTTGGTCTCCCGTCACAAACGGCTCACTGTAATTCACCTCCACACACCAGTCTGTGCGCCCTGCTGGTTTATCTGCTATCATTTTCCTTCACGTTCCCGCCCGCCTTCACTGCTTTGATATGAAAAATTGCGGAGGCAGGTGACGGAGCTTTCACAGTGGGCTCGTTTGCTGCGGTCCGAGTCCGAGCGCGAGCGCGATTGTTCCCGGCGCCCCCCGCAGCGTTGGTCTGGTTTCACACTCAATTCTATCGAACCCTGTTGAGTTTGCGTGCATCTTATGCCATCGCAAACGTGCACGGCGCATGATAGAAAACAGAACGCGGGTCAATATATTGTGTTTTTCAAACGGACTCTTTTGAGGAGACAGGATTTCCAAATGTGTTGCCCTGATTGCACGCGCAATGCGCGAATACACTGCAGACTCAACTCTCGCGTATCCAAGGTAAATCATCAACACTATCATCCCTTACATGTGTTTTATTTAACTAAATGCATCATAATCAGCTAAAACGCATGGGCAGGTTACTTAACTTCCTGAACAAGCGCTCCCGAGTCCGTGTTGCTTTCACATTCACGCGAACCGCGGCACGTGCCCGCCATGCACGCAAGTGTAAACGCGAGCTACATAACTGCGTGCCTGCCTGCTTTCAGCGCGACTCATAGTGGGCTAGTCCAGACTCTTTCAATTCAATTCCAATTTATTTGTATAGCGCTTTTCACAGAAAATGCATTGCATCTACTTTACTATTCAGAGTGATGTTATCAGTTATGCTTTTCAGAAATGTAAATAAATTAATCATTATTAGCTTACTGTACATTTTTTAAGGCAGAACAAAGAGCTAATTTAAGTAATACATACATGTTTGTTATTAGAGGATTAGATTAGGACTCTGACAAATATGGTATAGCCTAATGGAAATGCAGTAATGCTTAGATTGTTAATACATAATGTTTTTGAACAGGTGACATTTTATGTTTTGGCCCTTCAGTTGAGTTCAAAATAAAATGGACACAACGAAATAAACACTTGATTTTTTTTTTTAATTAGTCGTTAAGATTAGTCGACTAATCGAAAAATTAGTCGAAAGATTAGTCGTTAGAAAATTAGTCGTTAGTGGCAGCACTACTGCTTTGGATTGGGCCATTAAAGCAAAGACATGCATGAATTTGTTCTTGTTTTTATTGCAACTTGCTCTTTGCTTTTATAACTTTATTATAAAAGCAGCTGAAGAGGCACCTCTTCCGCAAGCACTTAATGACCTCACACTCTTAAACCAATGCGCTTACGCGCACGCACACACACACACACACACACACACACACACACACACACACACACACACACACACACACACACACACACACACACACACACACACCAACTACAACAACAACAAAACAACTCAATTTGTCCTCTTCTCTAGCTGGTTTCCTAATCTAGTTGTCAAATAAACCTGGCATTGTGTACTACAACAATTGTTGGCTCTTTGATGAATGCTTTGTTCTTCTCCGTAAGTCGCTTTGGATAAAAACTAAAAAGCGTCTGCTAAATGCAGAAATGTATGTAAATAACTTGCTATTAGGTTTGGAGTATCAAGGAAGCTAATTTGAAACTTGGCCAGGCTTCAAGCTTGTGCAAGTGGCTAAATACACTGAACCAAATGACAAATAACTCTCTGATGATATAATTTATTATTTCAGATAATTATTGGAGTTTTTAATGAATTAATGCTAATAATAGCACCAAAATTCTACAAAATTTGCTGTTTACACATCCTAATTTACTGTAACTAAATACAAAAACAATGAATTTTAAAATTACAATTATTATTTGATAAATTAAATATTTAACAAAAAACAAAACAAAAAAACAACAACATTAAATTGCTATGCAGTGATTTCTTTTTTGTTCCATCTTTTGAACCGTCCAAATGAACCAGGGCTGCGTTTCCCAAAAGCATCGTAAGCCTAAGTTGATCGTAAAAACGATCGTACGACTGATCTTAATATTATGGTCTGTTTCCCAAAAGCATCGTAACTTAAGTAGCACTTGAAAATCTTCGTAGAACTACGAGTGCTCTGGAGTTATCGTAAATCCCTAAGTGCATCGTAAGAAGACAGAGTTATATGAGCTCACCTGCAGGACAACCGGCAGATTACACTTTTATCTAGATTTAACAGATTACACTGCAAAGTGAGTATAATATAAGGTTTTGATTGTACTTTATTGTACACTTTGTTGTACTCGTGTTTTGTTTAAATTAATAAATGAAATAATTAAAAAGGGAAGAAAAAAATAGAAATACACATCTAAATTAAACGAATGAACAAAAAACAAAAAAATCATAAAATAAGTAATCTGGGAAATATGCTTTAAAGACCGGGCAAAATAGGGATGAATTAAAAAAAATCTGTCAATGACTTGCTGACGTGCACGAAAACCAGCCATGTATTGGGCATTTCTTGCGGACCTCCTTTCCTGATCTTTGAACACGGTTGCAGTTAGTTTGCAATGTGACAATGTCCTTCCAGATGTTTTGTTTTTCCTTATTTGTAAGCTTTAAATCTGTTAAAAATAAAATCTTTGTTTCCCTCTATCTCCTCTAAAAGGACATTCATTTTATCTTTTTGAACGGTATCTTCTCTTGTTTTTTTGTTTTTGTTCAGCCATTTTGTCAGCCTGTATAGGTGCTTTATATCCATATAGACTTGTCTTGATTTCTAATCCACAACAAATGACGATTATTAGGTTAAACGTTCAGAATACGATTCCAAATAAGGTTATATTTCAGCACTTCGCGAATGGACAGCGACGCTTAAGTACCATGTAACACGTTCTCGCGCGTTCATGTTAAGTGCATTTTTGGGAAACGCGCGTGGAATTGCGGCGAGCATTCGTAACCTTGCACGTAGAGAGCGCTCTAAGAGCTAAGATACATCGTTATCGGGAAACCCGGCCCAGTTCACTAGAATTAATCAGAATTTTCAATGCTACGTATAAATGAGAGATGACAGTTTAAAATGAACCAGTTCACTAGAATGAATCAGACTTTTTGAAGCCAAATACAAGTGATAGAGGATAGAACTAGGATGAATCAGATTTTCCAATGCTAAGTTTAAGACAAAAACCAGTTTACTAGAATGAATGAATGGTGTGTGTTGGAAAGTCTGATTCATTCCATAAAAGCATTTCAACACTTCACATGAGCGAAAAAGGAGAGCTTATGATGACTGATTTAACTAGAATAAGAATGAATCACATTTTTTAACATTACAAATGAGCGAGAGAGGGCAGTTTGTATGAAAGCTTGCTACTATTTTGAAAACCTTTGACCTAATGTCAGGCTATTTATTTTTAGTTATTTACTCCCCAACACTGTTAGTCATACCATTTCTCTGCCTCCAACTCTCTCCTTACTCACTCTGAGCTGAACGGCAGTGATGTCTTTCTCCACCATTCACATTAGCTCCTCCCCCTGTCGATCCTGCACCTCCTTTGCCACGCCCCTTCCCTCCCCCAGGAGGAGGGGCTTTGCCACGGAGCATGTAGTAAAGGGCGGCTGAGCGACGGCGGGCCTTGCGTAGGATGTGGCAGACCAGCTGGAAGAGTTCCTCGTAACAGTCTCCGGGCTCAACGAGCGAAGCCAGCGTGCTGGAGGATAGGTAGCGAGCACGTTGCTCTTGCATCAGCTGGTGCTCTCGCTGTTTGGTCTCTGAAAACTGAGTGGCGATGACCACCAGGCACAGATTAATCATGAAGAAAGATCCAATCTGGAACAGGAAGAAGATCGAGAACTTGAATATAATGAAAATTATCACACACACACACGTCGTTCTAAACCCTTAAAGGTGCAGTCACATTTACCATTGTCCAGAAAAATTTCACAGCCAAAATCCAGCCACAATGAGTTCAAGTTGGTCATGCAATTTTGTTGTGTTGAACAAAATAAAGCGGCTTGATTAGATTGTTCTTCCGTGAATAAAAAAAAAGAAAAAAGGTTGAAGGACTTTCTGGTACTGGTCAATCTTTTCTGAAGGTCATATAACAGCTTGTTGTTGTTCATTGACAACTCGACACTTTAAATCAGATTTTTTTTGGATCTTGCATTCAATTCGCTGATTCAATAATCCCAGCAGTTACAATAAGTGAGTTGGAACCTGAGAACTGAATCAGTCTGATTTTTGAACAAATCATTCAGACTAATTGTGCAAACCGGATCAATCGATTCAACAAGTTTGACTTACAGAAGAACCAAATTCATTCATAGATTTTAGTGCTTCTCTCAAGGATTGCTATAATGCAGATTTTTACTGAATAACTTTTTGGGTCTCTTTGTCGCACAAAACTATTGTATGACTTCAGAACTCTTGGAATAAAGAGCAGAAGTCCGATAGACCACTTTTACGATACTTTTATGGTGCTTTTGCAACCCTTTTGAAGGTTGAAGGCTCCAGGCCACATTCAGTGTAATTGCTTGAAAAACTTCAGGATATTCTTTTAAAATTTCTCCTTTTATGTTCTATGAAAAAAAGTAAAATGGGTTTGAAACGACAATGTTCATATCCATTTTTGGGTGAACTAAACCTTTAAATATATTTATTTGAGTTTACATGCATTTTGCTGTCATTACATTACCTAAAGATCATTCTTAGGCTTAATTCTGTAACCATAACTCATGTGAAGTCTCAGCTGCTTTAAATATCCAGATCTACATGACACCAAAACCCCTTGGAAGCAGCCTTTGCTGCAGTGTTTGGCGTTAGCAGTGGCCATACCTGTCAAGATGAGCTGCTATAAACAGACCCTATGTTTGAAGAAGTCAGCAGACGCCCAAACAAGAGACAAGAGTTTTGTTGTGTGTACGCCTGTACCGCTCTGGCTTTGATATGCTATAATTATCAGGCTCTTTCATAGCAGCAAAACCTCCAAATATCTCCTAGTCCTCGCAGAGAAGGGCTAGATCCCTCTGCCAACGTGAAACGGATTAGAATCGGGAGCCAATCATTTTAAAGACTGAGGGCGAACCAGTTCCAGACTTATCAGAAGAGAGAGCCTGCTCTTATATCATTCACCATTCATATCACTGGCATTTGTCAACACGCAAATGCACACAGATCTTGCTCGCCTTAATGAAAGTACAGCCTGGTTGCAGCTTATGTGAAGTAGGGATCAGAGAGGACGGATGACTTGTGAGGAGGACAGAGAAGGTGGAGAAATGAGGAGTTGGGCATATGTGTGTGTAGGGCAGCTGTGCAGATGCATCCTGCCTTCTCATCTGCTGTCCTGATTTGGGATTCTGATGTGTGACTGGACTGCTCCTAATCAACAGCCAGACTTCTGTTTTATGCAGATAGACACCTTCTTTCCTATCACCAATTCCACTGTACTGTTTATTACACACACACACACACACACACACACACACACACACACACACACACACACACACACACACACACACACACACACACACACACACACACACACACACACACACACACACATAATTAAAATGTGTCTTCTGCTTCTCTCTTTGATATGCTATGAAATTATGTGTTCCTTTAAAGGGATAGTTTAACCAAAAATGTAATCTTGAAAATTCTGTCATCTTTGTCTCACCCTCATGTCGTTCCAAACCTGTAGTGTACAGTATAACTTTTTTCTTCTGTGGAATTCTGTCTTCATGTGAATTTTTGAGGAATATCCACAGCTAAGTTTCCCAAAAGCATCATGAGCCCAAGTTGATCATAGACACCATTCCTACCAATTTCCTCTACGGTCAACTTAGCTCACGATGCTTTTGGGAAATGGAACCCAGGCCAGTCTTTAATATTATGAATGAGAATGAGGACTGGGGGACAAAATAAGTACTATAAAAGTGGTAGTGATAGTTTTGTCTGAAGAATAGTTAGGACTTTAAAGCTGCAGTCCGGCGTTTTTCCTCTTTTTAGCCATCTCTGCTCGAAATCTGCAATTGCAGTCATTCGCGGAATTCGCGGCACAGCACACAGCGCGGATGAACACAATGTTCCCTTTCGAGAGGTTCCTCCTATTGCGTAAGCTTACGCTATGGGAAAACTCCTTTTCTCGAGAAATATTGAAGTCTTTATGTAAAACGCATTGCAGCTGCACAGCATACAGCAATGAGCGAGGCAGCTCGGTCATTGGCTGTGCTGCGGCAACTGCACGAACCAATGACGGGGCGACTCTGAACCCGCTTCCAATGAGCGTGCTTCGCGTGCTTCGCGCCCACGCGCGTCAGAGCCCGCCAAGATGGGCGTGGCCAAGGGCTATATATTGGGCGCCCCGTCGTCTGAGTTCTTTAGATTTAATCTCCTTCAGCAAAGAACCTTCTCTTCGCTGGATCCTCCGGATTTGTTGGAGTCTTTTCGCCGCCGCCGTCGACAAGCCTACAGCAGGACTGCTTCGAGGACGCCGGCGCCTTCAGCCGCCTTCGATCGCCCTTCTGCTAAGCCATCCGGCGAGCATCATCTAATATCCTTTCAAAAAGCTTCAGTGTTCGCCCCCGCTACACTTTCTAAAAGAGCAAATTTAACAAGGCGTTGTTTCAAATGCCTTCCTGCGCCTCGTGTCGAGGCCCTCTTCAGGACGGGGATCGTCACATCATTTGCGCCCGCTGCCTGGGACCGGACCACGCAGAGGCTGCCCTTACTCGAGGCGGATGTCCCGAGTGTGACGCCCTGGGCCTCACCGAGCTGCGCGCTCGCTTCGCCGTTTTCACCGCGAAAGAGCCCACCTCTTCCGTGCTGCCATCTCCTCTGGTCGAGCCGCGAAAGAAAAAACGCCGCTCACAGAGGCCGCCGGAGCACGCGGTTTGCAGTGATGTCACGCCGGGCCAATCCCCGCGTGCTTCACCACCACCCGAAGACTCCCCGCCGCCAGTCCAGTTCACACAGGCGGACCAGCACCCCTCCAGCGGAGCGATGGGGCTCGTCTCGTTTGGCGCGTCAGGGGATGACGATGATAAGGATGACAGTTTTTCCTGTGATGCTGCATCCGATGACTGGCCGGGCTCGTCCTTCGACCCCGCGCCATCGACATTAGCGGGCACGAGCGCGGGCTCCAGCATGGACTCGGAGATCGTCCGCATTCTATCTAAGGCCGTGGAAGACCTCGGGCTCGATTGGTCTTCCCCGGAAGAACCCGCCCGCAGCCGACTGGACGAGTGGTTCCTGCAGGGGCGCCGACAGGCCCCTCGACAAAGACCCTCCCCCTTCTTCCCGGAAGTTCACGACGAACTCACGAAGTCGTGGAAAGCCCCGCACTCCGCTCGCCTGAAGCCTTCTTTTTCTTTGTCGCTCTCCTCTGTGGACGGCGCGAAAGAAAGAGGCTATGAGGGGACTCCGCCCCTCGAGGAGGCTGTGGCCAATCATCTGTGTCCACCCTCCAACGCTGGATGGAAAGCTAAAGCTTCTCATCCCTCAAAGCCTTGCCGGTCTACTTCAGCTCTCGCCGGTCGCGCATACGCCGCCGCCGGCCAAGCTGCATCAGCGCTTCACTCTATGGCTGTCCTCCAGGTGTTTCAAGCTAAACTTCTCCGCAGTATGGACGAGTCTGGACCCGATCCTGAGGCATTTAAGGACCCACTGACATAGCGCTGCGAGCTACAAAAGCCACCGCCCAATCCATCGGCCGTGCTATGGCTAACCTGACTGTCCTTGAGCGCCATCTGTGGCTGATGCTAACAGAGATGAAGGATGCAGATAAGGCGTCATTTCTCGACGCGCCTATCTCCCAAAGCGGCCTGTTTGGACCAGCGGTGAAGGAGTTCGCCGAGCGCTTCACCGAAGCCCGTAAGGACTCACAGGCTATGCGTCACTTCCTGCCCAAGTGATCTAGCTCATCGCAGAGCCGCCAACGGCCGCCTCAGCAGCAGCGAGCTAAGACGGCACCCCCCGTCTCTCAGCCCAAACCTGAAACGGATTTTCGACGCCGCTCGCGCTCTGCCAACAGGAAACAACCGCCCGAGCGACGGGGACCTCGGCCCAAGATTGTGCTGAACCCAGAGCCTCGTAAGTCCTCCTAGCTACAGGGAGAAAAAGGGAGAGCGCGTGTCTCGCAAGAGCCGGACTGTTCTCTCCAAAACGTTTAAAGCATTACCCAGTCCCCTTACAGGTGGCTGGAAATGTCTATACAGCAGCCAATGTGCCAGCCACACAGCTCGCCCACCTGCAAACAAACGCCGTTTTTACGGCGACACACAGAAATCACATAAAGAGCTATTTTCTGCCTGTGTCATTAAAGGGTCACGTGTCCACACCAAAGTGCGCATTCCCACATATCAAAACTGTCAACGCAGTGCCAAATGTTTTCCCAGCTCCAGCTGGACGCCCCATAAATGTACATTGTGTGCCAACTGTCACGTATGCACCACTACACACAAGCACTGTTCCCACAGTTATAAACACTTCCCCAGTAAAAGCGGGAAGTTGTATAAGAGTAGCGCGTGTGCCCGCTGTTATGCACGCACCCCAACTCACAAACACTGTTTATATGGCCAAAATATATGGCCAAAGTCTATGCACCCCCACCCATAAGCACTATACACACAGTGTTAAACATTTCCCCATCTCACTCTGTGAGCATTACAGCGAGCGTGCCTGTAATCTCACACGCACCCCTGCACTCGGCATTCAACAGAGCTGCTCAGCGCGCGCCCGCGCCGCTGAGAGCTGTAAGCTCGGTATTAACACAGAACGATTCGCTGGCGGGAGCCATACGTCACTGCGACACGCCCCCGGCCAGCATT